GGCCAGATGCGCGGGAGGGTGAGAGGATTCACCAGAGACAGAGTGGGGAACAGAACAGGCAGACTGACAAAATACACAGCTGAGGGGAGCAGCGGGCAAGACAGGGGAGGTCTGCAGTGCCATGTGGAGCCCTTGCTGGCCAGCTGGGATGGAACCGGAGCTGCAGAGGCTGCGGACAGCTTCACAGTGCAGTGCTCAACTGCCAGCACTACCAGGGCAGGCCCTCATCCGATGATAGTCTTAAATGAGAAGCAAGAAGGTGGCCCCTAGACTTGGCAAGTAAGGTCACTGCTAAAACTAGAGGAGAGTTTCAGCAGGTTGAGAAGAAAGTCAGGTTGCAAGGAGCAGGTGGATAGCCAGTGGGTGAAGTCTTAGCTTTAGGGGGTTTAGCAATGAGAGGAAGGAGACTGGGAGAGAGAAGAAAAACGGATTTTTATTGAGGTGCTTTACCTGTCCTGTTGGGTTTAGTATTCACAGTACAAGGAAACTTACTCTCCTGTGTTGTATATTGCACTGAATATGACATTTCCCCTACTTCCCAGGCTGGCTGATGAACCCTAATTACAGTGTGACAGCATTGCAGTGAGTGGAATAACAGCATGTCCAAGGTTTTAGTGGGAATAGGAAAGTGGATCCATACTTAGCGTGTCCCTAATATGTGTGGGCATTGCTTTGAGATGGGTATTAAATTTATAAATAAATGGAGCCTCAGTGGTTCAAAATTTACATCCATTGTCACATTTTGACTAAGGGGTTGAGTTTGTTTAGTCCACAAATAGTAACTGGATGCCTGCCGTGCGCAAAGCACTGCCCCTGGCCTCTTGAGGGATGCGGGACTAAACAGACCTGCCTTGTGACGCTTACATTCTAGAGGGGAGAAAGGATCCAGGCCTGCCCATCCAAATTGCAGACCTGTTTTCTCTTTAGTAGAGCTGTAAAGTGATAGGCATGAGAGGAGGTAAGGTGGGCGAGGGTGAGCTAGAGCTTGAGAAAGTGCTTGGAGTCCAGCGGAAGAGGCAGTTCAGATGTGGGAACAAAGGGTTGAAGAGCTTGTACTTTTGAAATTTTGGCACCAAGACTGGACAGGACCTGAATCCTAACTTTCTTCTAGTAGAAGGACCAATGGGAATAAGTTTGCTTGGGAGAGAGAGTATGGAATTAAGGATTAAGAGGAAATAAGGCAGTGGAGGGGAGGAGGGGAGAAGGGTGAAAGGCTTTCACTTGAGGTTTGGCGATTTTAGCATTGAGCGCAATTTATAACTGGACCTCTAGTTACCGTCGTGATACGTCAGCACAAGTAACGAAGGGTTCAATCCTAAGACATGCAGTGATGTCATCGAAGCACCACATGGGGATGGTGACTGGGATGAGCGCCCGAGCAAGTACTGGTGGAAGGTGGCGTGGTGTACGGCAGGGGACCCCAGGCCTCCGATGCAGGGATCTAAGGGATTGGGTAGTCTGAGAAGTCAAGGATAGATCAGAAAAGGACACTTATGTGACATCTGGAAAGGGCTGAGTAGGAATAAAGTTTTTACCTGGAAAGTCAATAATATAGTCAGTCCTGCTGTCTTAGGATGTGACAGAGACGATGTGGGAAGTGAGCCGCTCTGCTTGTTTAAATCGAGTGCGATGTGCACAATTCAAAATGTAAGGCAAAGGGTTCCAAAGGATTTTTTCCTTAAATGGACCCAAACCAAAGGAACAAGATTTTTTTAAACCCAGGCTGCCCAGTCTGCTCCCAAGGGTGAACAGCCTGGTTCTCTTCCTTTTTACTGTACAATAGATGGAGAGGAAGAGATGAGTGAAGCTTTATCACCTCCTAACCCTCCTGACCTCCCCCAGTTGTCCTTCTCAGCCTCTTTAACTTATTTTGGAGTGTAATTCCCTGTGCGGAACTGCATGCATTTTGATCATTGGATTATTTCTGCTTGCCTGTAGCTTTTGAAACTTTTTTTAAAAAAGACGTATTTTATTTATTTATACAAGCACAGGAGGGTGAGAGAATTCACCAGAACCAGAGCAGAGAGCAGAACAGGCAGACCACTGAAGTACACCGCTGAGGGGAGCAGTGGGTGGCAGGAGAGGTCCGCGTGCCATGCGGGACCCTCACCCGGCGGCCGGGGATCGAATTGGCCCTGCAGAGGCTGCGGGCAGCTTTGCAACCCAGCGCTCGACCGCTGCACCACCGGGGAGGCCCAGCTCTTGAAACTTTATCTTCCCTGCCTGTTGCTCCGAGGATGCTACCTGCACCCTTGGGGTGATGGCCTAACTCTGTCACGGTACTTGTCATTCACTTTTTTTACAGTTGTGGGTTGTGTGCTTACTGTGTGTCGGTAGTGAAATAGATGAAGAGCTGGTACCTGAATGTCATTGTGAAGTGTGGGGACTTTTGGTTACTAGGTTTGGGTGTATCTGATAGAGCTCCCGAATAAATGATTTAAAAAAGGTTGACATTTATTCTTTCACGAAAAAAGTGAACCAGTATGGCGTCCTGCTGCACACAGCCCTTGGCCCTCTTAACCATGTTGCTCCCATATTCTTGGGGTGTTACTTTCCTATGCCTGGTTCAGGTGACTCACCCCTGTTCAAACTTGCAGCCAGCAGGAATGGTGAAGAGGCATCACCTGGAAGTTGTTGTATCTTTCCTGTCACTAGCTGCAAGATGGGGTTGGAAGTGTGTTTCTTTTGGGCAGTTATATATGCCCAGCCAAAAATCCATCACCATGGGGGTGGGGGCAAAATATTGAAGTAACCAGCCATCTGAGGGATTTTGGTGCTGCTTTGAGTGCTGCACAGCATTTCACATGGGCTTATCCACAAGGTCTGAATAATTGTTCTCCTTAGTTCTTTTGTATCAAGTGACTAAAAGTCTTTAGGTTCTGGATTCACCTGCTGTGGTGGCAACAAGAACTCTTAAGAGATTATATAGAGAAATGTTTCCTTTTTACCCAGGCGACAATGGGAAAGAAAAAGCATTAGTATACATTTGTTAACAGTGGCAGCATGACATTCAATCTATAACTTGCTTTTCAATAGTCTGGGGGGAAAAAAAGTGCAGGATCCCTTGTGTTGCTCTGATAAGGTAAATATACAACAGTGAACAACAGACCTGGGCAGGAGGGGTGGAGTCTGGCTGTTTGCTCTGTTAGCTGGCTGTGATCCTGCCGCCTGCCCTGCTCTCTAGGTGAGAGCCACCTGGGGGCCAGTCATATTTGGGGCCTTATCTGTCTGCCTGTACTATGCTTTACTGAATAACTGTCCTCATACTTAAAGTTTAAAGTTTAAACTTAGCCTGCTTATAAGTAATAGTCCATTAAAATCTAATTTTGATGTTTCCTAATATTAAAATATATAATCATTAAAATCATAAAATGTCCTTTTACCTCCCTGAAAAACGTCTCCCATAATATAGTGGTGTGTACGCTCACTCAGGAAGTAGTGCTTTGGCCTCATTCTCTAGGCCCTGCTAGTAGCTTTCGGCAAGCTTTGCATAAATCCGTGGCTACTAAGTGGCTCTGAATTTCAGAGAATAACTTTCTGCTTTCAACTCTGGTAGGGAAACTGCTAGTGAGTGCTTGATTTTTGAACTTTAGAATTAATTGCCTCTGACACTTTGACTAGGTTAAGAGTGATCTGTAAAACAGCCAACTGAAGAGCTCTCCAAGCTTTTCTCCAGGACCTGTTGGGTAAGATGCTTAACTTTTGTAAGTCTTAGTTTCCTTATTTTTAAAATGGGGCAGTATTATTTACCTCCTAGAATTACCTTGAGGATTAAATAAAATAATGTATGCGAACGACTTAGTGGAGGGAGGCACCCCTTCTAATGCTAATGGACATTTGGGTTATTTCCAGTTTTGGACTGTTCTGAGTTAAGCTGGTGTGAACATTCTGGTATATGTGCCTTTAGTGGGACATGAGCCTTTCTCTTAGGTGTACACCTATGAGTGGAATTGCTGGGTCATTGTGTGTTTAATCATCGTGGTTACTGCTAAACAGTTTTCCCAGGGGGTTATACTCCACCAGAAAGTCTGAGAATTCTAGTTGCGCTAAATTTTCTCCACCAATTCATATTGTTGGTCTCTTAAATTTGTTCCAGTCTAGCGGGCCAGTAGTGGCACCTCATTATGGCTTACTTTCTCTGAAAAGTAGTGGTGTAAAAGCACCTGTTCATATGATTATTGATCATTTGAATGTCTTTTTAATGAAGTGCTTGTTCATGATCTTTTTGCCCATTAATATATGTGAAATAGAAATATTTGTCTTTTCTTGATTTCTGTATTGATTCTTGCTATGAATTCCTTGCATATGGTTATTGTATTTTCTCCTAATCTGTGGTTTGCATTTTTACCCCCATAATGGTATATTTTATTTATGCACAGAAGAACTGGGGTAAAGGCCAGAGGTGCCGAGGGGTGGTGGTGAGAGGATTCACCAGAGTGGGGAGCAGAACAGGCAGATCTGCGGAAATACACTGCTGAGGGGAGCAGCGGGCAAGACAAGAGAGGTCTGTTGCGCCATGTGGGTTAGCTCCCTGGCTGGGGATCAAACTCATGCTGCAGTGGCTGGTGATAGCTTGATAGTACTGAGACTTAACCCCTTGTGCCACCAGGGAGGTCCTATCATTTTTACTTTTATGGTTAATGCTCTTGTGTGCCCTGTTCTGTTCAGAAATACATATTTTTTTTAAAGATTTATTTATGCATACAATAACTGGGGTACAGACCAGAGATGCGGGGGTGTAGGAGGATTCACCAGAGACAGAATGGGGAGCAGAACAGGCAGACTGACTGAAATACACTGCTGAGGGGAGCAGTGGGTGAGATGGGAGAGGTCTGCTGTGCCACGTGGGCTGCTCCCTGGCCGGCTGGGGATCGAACTCATGCTGCAGAGGCTGCGGATTGCTTCATAGTGTGGTACTTAACCCCTTGTGCCACCAGGGAGGCCCCACAAATACATATTTTAGAAATACTTGAAGGTCATTCTTTTCTTTGTGATAATAGGTGATGCCATGGAGAGTGGAAAACCTGGCCCAGTGCAGGTGGTGTTGGTTCAGAAAGACCAGCATTCCTTTGAGCTAGAGGAGAAAGCCTTGGCCAGCATCCTGTTGCAGGACCACATCCGGGACCTCGATGTCGTGGTGGTGTCAGTGGCTGGTGCCTTCCGGAAGGGCAAGTCCTTCTTTCTGGACTTCATGCTACGATACTTATACTCCCAGGTGAGCTAGAATTCTTTCATTTTATACCCAAAGAGCAAAATAAGCTCATGAATTATCCTTGATATATAAATGAACTCAAAATTTAAGATATAATGGAGATTTTATTTCTCCAATAGAAGGAAGGTGGCCATTCAAATTGGTTGGGTGACCCAGAAGAACCATTAACAGGATTTTCGTGGCGAGGGGGCTCTGACCCAGAAACCACGGGGATTCAGATCTGGAGTGAAGTTTTCACTGTGGAGAAGCCAGGTGGGAAGAAGGTAAGGCGGAAAACGATCTACAGGTAGTGCAAGAGCAGCAAAATGAGAACTGTAATGGGTGCTGGGATAATCCAACTTAAAAATAATTTATCAAAATGATATGAATAGATGGGTTAAAGATGAGCATGAATATAATTCAGTAGTAATGTAAGGCTTCTTTTTTGTTTTTAAGATTTATTTATTTATTTATACAAGCACTGGGTACAGTCAGAAGCTCAGGATGGTGAGAGAATTCACCAGAGCCAGAGGGGAGAGCAGAGCAGGCAGACTGACGAAATACGCTGCTGAGGGGAGCAGCGGGCGACAGGAGAGATCTGCATGCCATGTGGGACCCTCGCGGCAGCCGGAGATGGAACCGGTGCTGCAGAGGCTGCGAGCAACTTCCCAGCCCAGTGCTCAACCGCTGCGCCACCAGGGGAGGCCCCAATTATTTCTTCAACAGGCTGAAGCCCAGAACATTTTTATTACCACTGCAAGAAACCCCGTACCCTGAATAGTCACTCCTCAAACGCCTGTCCTCCCAGGTCCTGGCCACAGGGGTCTTCCTCCTCTGGACATTTCGTACAGATGGGGTCGTGCATTGTGTGGTCATTTTTATCTGGTTTCCCTACCCAGCTCAGTGTCCTCCAGGCCCGTGCGGCTCGGAAGGTCCCTCCTTTCTGGGCTGAACAATGCTCCGTGGCATGAATGTGCCCGCTACGTTCACCCTGCCCTCCCGGGAAGGCCATCCGGGTTATTTCCATTTCTTTGCTGTTATGAATAGTGTTGCCATGAGCATTTGTGTGCTAGTTTTTGTGTTGGAAATGTTTTCTTTTTCTTTGTTTTTACTGGGGTAGGAACACTTAACATTGCATCTGCTCTTTTTTTTTTTTTTTTTTTAAATAGAGGCATGTTTATTTATTTATTTATTTGTTTGTTTGTTTTGTTTATACAAGCACTGGGTACAGTCAGAAGCGTGGGAGGGTGAGAGAATTCACCAGAGCCAGAGCAGGGAGCAGAGCAGGCAGAAGAACCGAAGTACACTGCTGAGGGGAGCAGCGGGCAGCAGGAGAGGTCTTCGCGCCATGTGGGACCCTCCTCCCGTGGCCGGGGAGCAGCCGGGAAACGAACCGGCGCTGCAGAGGCTGCGGGTAGCTTCGCAACCCAGCGCTCAACCGCTGCGCCACCGGGGAGGCCCACATTGCATCTGCTCTTAACAAATCTTTAAGTGTACAGGTCATGGTGTTCCCGTGGACACGGGGCTGCACAGCAACCACTAGAACCCAGGTATCTTGGTAATCAAAACTTGAAGTCGCACCTCCTTCCCTCCCCAGCTCTGGTGCCCACCATATAATTGTTTCTCCGAGTCTCACTGTTGTAGGGCCCTCGAGGTGGAACCAAGCAGTGATTGTTCTTCTCTGACTGACTCACCTCACTCAGCATCCTTCCAGGTTCATCCCTGCTGTTATGTGTGGCTGGTGTCTTCCCCCGGCCCTCTTGCTGAGGCTGAAAAGTGTCCCGTGGTGTGTGTCCCCGGGGGGCTTCACTTGTCAGTAGGTGGACTTTCAGGCTGTTTCCATGTGCTAACTGTTGTTAGCAGGGCTGCTGTCACTTGGGGCTGCAGATATCTTTTCAAAATCCTGATTTCAGTTCTTTTGGCTCTATCTCCAGAAGTGAAGTGTGATTGCTGAATCATAAGGTGGTTCTATTTTTTATTTTATGCACAATCATACTTTTCCTCCACCATTTCCACAATGCCAACACCATTCTGTAGGCCCACCAGCGTGTGAAAGGGTTCCACCTTCCCCATGGCTTAGCTCTTGTTTTCTGATAGTCGCCCCCTCACAGCTGGGAGAGGGTGTCAAATTGTGGTTTGATTTGTGCTTTCTTGACGATGGCTGACGCACACCTTTTCTTATAGTACCTTTTGGCCGCTTCATGTATGTTCTTGGGAGAAATATCTATTCATGTCCTTATTTTTATTTTTATTTATTTATTTAAAAAAAGATTTATTTATTTATTTATACAAGCACTGGGTACAGTCAGAAGTGCGGGAGGGTGAGAGAATTGACCAGAGCCAGAGGGGATAACAGAGCAGGCAGACTGACGAAGTACACTGCTGAGGGGAGCAGCGGGCGGCAGGAGAGGTCTGGGCGGCAGGAGAGGTCTGCGCGCCATGTGGGACCCTCACCCGGCGGCCGGGGATTGAACTGGCGTTGCAGAGGCTACGGGCAGCTTCGCAACCCAGCGCTTCACCGCTGCGCCACTGGGGAGGCCCCGTGTCCTTATTTTTAAATTGGGCTTTTCACTACTGAGTTTGAAGGAGTAAAATATGTTTTCTGTTCTTTTGGGGATATACCTAGGAGTACAGTTTCTGCATCACAGACCCCCGTCTAACCCTTTAACAAATTGCTGAACTGTTCCTCAAAGCAGCTGCACCGCCCTGTGGTCTCACCAGCGGTGTAGGAGGCTCCTCTCTTGCTCCGCCTGGCCACACCTCAGCACACCTGGTCACACCTGATACTGTTCATTTTCTGATTATAGGCCACCTGGTAGGTGTGCAGTAGTAGGGTTGACTAATGATGTTGATATCTTTTCGTGTACTTATTAAACATTTATTTTTTTCTGGGAGAAATATGTTCACATCAAATCCATCTTTTTGTTGGGTTGTCTTTTTGTTTTCAAATTGTTCCTTTTGTATTTTGTATTTTTTTAAAGATTCATTTTATTTATACAAGAACTGGGGTATAGGCGAGAGGCGCAGGAGGATGAGAGGATTCACCAGAGACAGAGTAGGGAACAGAACAGGCATATGGACCGAAAACACGGCTGAGGGGGGCAGTGGGCGAGACAGGAGAGGTCTCCCGCTCCATGTAGGAATCTCCCTGGCTGGCCGGAGATCAAACTCACGCTGCAGAGGCTGTGGACAGCTTCACAGCGCTGCCCTCAACCCACTGCGCCAATGGGGAGGACCCCCCTTTGTATTTTGGATACCAGAGTCTTGTCAAATACTTTCTTCCATTCTTTGGGTTGTCTTTTTACTTTATTGGGAGTGTCTTTTGATGCACACGTGTTTTTGTTTTGATCAGTGCAGTTTGTCTCTGTATTTGGTTGCTTGTATTTTAGGTGTCCCATGGAAAAGAGCTGTTGTCTAATGCCGGGTCATGAAGAGTCATGCTTAAGTTTTCTTCTAAGTGCTTTATGGTCTTTGATCCATTCTGAGTTAACTTTTATGTGGCATGAGTTGGAACCCAGGGCCATTCTTTTGTACGTGGATCTCCTTGTGGCCTGATCCGTCTTGATTGCTCTTGGAGTTTGACAGCATTCTCATCACAAAGCGGATAAAGTGTGGGTGGGTTGAGCCAGCTGTGTTCACCTTTAGGTGCCATTGTATTCAGGTTGGAGACTTTATTTAGTTTGACTTTATCTTTCTTTTCTGCTGAGTATTTTTAACTCATTCCACCACCGTGGGTTGGGCATATGAAATTAAATCCATAAACGTAATGAGGTCATTTTGACTTGACATGCAAGTTATGTGAAGTGAACCTTCATTTCTAGGAATAAAAATACTTGAGCAACTTGGGTTTGACCTGTGCAGGCCCCCAGTGTGTGGCTTTTCTAGTCAATCCATCACCTGAACTTATGGAGACAGACAGTCTAGTACCGTGAACGTGTTTTCCCTAGTCGTTTTCTTTTCTCTAGCTTATGTTATTGTTAGAATTCCTATAATGTACAAAACATGTTAGTTGACCTTTATGTTATTGGTAACGCTTCCAGTCAACAGGAGGTTAATGGTTAAGTTTTCTGGGAGTCAAAAGTTACACATGGATTTTCTACTGAGTGGAGAGAGGAAGTCTATACCTCTTAACCCCCACGTTGTTCAAGGGTCAACTGTCCTTACAGTATTTTTATTTGCATTTGCTTCTATGAATCTTTAAAACATTTTGACTGATATTTCTCTTTTTGGACTCAGTGGAGCTTCCTAGAAAGTCCCCCTGTTGTCCTTTGCCATTGTCTTGATAAAGAATCAGCCCCTTGCTGATGAATTAACTTATTTTTCTGAACATACTAAGCCCAGTCCCTCTCTCAGAGTCAGTTACATTATACATGAATTTGAGAAGTTTTAGGATAATATACTATATTTAACATTTTGCATAAATCTCAATTTTAGGAAAACCTGAGGCTTCATGAAACGTAGTTCTGTAGGGGGTAATGATATCTAATTCTCCTGCTGTCACTTGGCATCTGTCTTTTGTAAAGATCAAAATAAACCTAAAATTTTTTTATGTCAACCAGAAAACCCTAGAAATTTGGGACCATGCAGCCTTGCAGGTGAATGCCGTCTGTTTTACTTTGTAATATACCTAAGTTTGAACTAAGTCCATTCATATTTTTTATTTCTTTTTCGGCAACAAAAAACATCCCTGTGATTAGCTGGATGAACTGTTTGGATAGGTGGGGTGATTTCCCCCTTCTGTGTTGCTCTCACCTCCCGGTTTTGTATCCTCTCACCAGGTCAGAGCAGACAGTCTTTCCCAGCAAAGGTCTCTGGTGAAAACAAAGCACCTAAACCATTGTACTATTTTGTGGAACCTGTAAGCAGGTGCTTAAGTGCCATTTAAGTGTTAACCTGTGCTTTTCAGTTTTTCCCTTTTTACATTTCTCTTTTCTCACAGCAACCTATTTTGTATGTCTTGTCTACTTTTTTTAGGTTGCAGTCGTTCTGATGGATACCCAGGGGGCATTTGACAGCCAGTCCACTGTGAAAGACTGTGCTACCATCTTTGCTCTCAGCACCATGACCAGTTCTGTTCAGGTAAAACCACTTGGCTAAAGAAAAAAAAAAACACAGAGGAAACACTAAAGGGAGTATATCTTGTGTCAGTTATTATGTCTTCCCAGTCTCTGGGTGAGATGTAAATGTTTTTAGACTGCAGATAAAAGTTAATCTTTTAGAAGCTTAAGAAGCAGCCTAAGCTGTTTTTCTATTTTGCTCATATGTGTGTGTGTGTGTGTATGTATGTGTGTATATGTGTGTGTGTGTGTGTGTTTGTGTATAAAATGTTCCAAGAAAAGCTTGAAAAGTAGAAATTGAGATGGCACCAGTTACACCAAATAGGAAACGTAGGTTTGGTAAAAACTTAGAAAAACTTTATTTCATGTTGTGAAAGAGGATTTTGTGATTTTAACCTTCACATTGTTTTCCAAAAGACAGGTAAAACTGTATTTGAATAGGCCTCATTTTCTTTTTTTTTTTTTTTAAAGATTTATTTTTATTTATTTAAGCATACAAGAATTGGGATCTAGACCAGAGGTGCAGGGGGTGAGAGGACTCATCAGAGACAGAGTGGGGAGCAGAACAGCAGATCTACTGAAATACACTGCTGTGGGGAGCAGTGGTGAGACAGGAGAGCTCTGCTGCACCATGTGGGTCAGCTCCCGGCCAGGGATTGAACTCAGGCTGCACCAGTGATAGCCTGATAGTGCTGAGACTTAACCCCTAGGTCACCAGGGAGGCCCCTCATTTTCTTTCTTTTTTTTTTTAAAGATTATTTATACAAGAACCGGGGTACAGGCCAGATGTGTGGGAGGGTGAGAGGATTCACCAGAGACAGAGCAGGGAACAGAACAGGCAGACTGACTGAAATACACTGCTGAGGGAGCAGCGGGTGAGACAGGAGAGGTCTGCTTGCCATGTGGGTTGCTCTGAGGCTGGCGGGGATTGAACTGGCACTGCAGAGGCTGTGGACAGCCTCACAGCGCTACGCTCAACCGCCTGTGCCACCAGGGAGGCCCCCCTCATTTTCTTATATGCAAAACTTTATTTATTTATTTATTTATTTAATAGAGGCATGCTTTATTTATTTGTTTGCTGGTTTGTTTGTTTTGTTTATACATGCACTGGGTACAGTCAGAAGCGCGGGAGGGTGAGAGAATTCACCAGAGTCAGAGCGGGGAGCAGAGCAGGCAGAAGGACCGAAGTACACTGCTGAGGGGAGCAGCGGGCGGCAGGAGAGGTCTGCGCGCCATGTGGGACCCTCCTCCGGTGGCCGGGGAGCAGCCGGGGATGGAACCAGCGCCTCAGAGGCCGCGGGCAGGTTTGCAACCCAGCGCTCAACCGCTGCGCCACCGGGGAGGCCCTTATATGCAAAACTTTCAATGCTTTTAAGCTTATTGAGATTGAGGGCTTGTCTGAAGTAAGCTAGAGTAGTATCAATTTGGATTTTTGTTTTCTAGATTTATAATTTGTCCCAGAACATTCAGGAAGATGATCTTCAACAGCTACAGGTATGGTAATAAAAATTTTAACATTATAACGTATCATTTAAGTTTTAAGACTAAGAAAAATATTTATGATTGAGTAGTTTTTTTTTTAATCCCACTCTCCCCTTCCTGCCCCCAAATAAGTAGTTTTGTTTTTTTTTTTAAGATTTATTTATTTATTTATACAAGCACTGGGTACAGTCAGAAATGCAGGCAGGTGAGAGAACTCACCAGAGCCAGAGCAGGGAACAAAACAGGCAGAGTGACAAAATACACTGCTGAGGGGAGCAGCGGGCACTGCAGGAGAGGTCTGTGCACCATGTGGCACCCTTGCCGGCAGCCGGGGATCTAACCGCTGCGCCACCAGGGGAGGCCCCCAAATGAGTAGTTTTAATAAAAGATTGAAATATGGAAGGTTTTTGGTTCACAGTAAACCCTACTCTCTGCACATGGATTGCTGGTTGTTTGGGGTTGACCACCCAGGGAACAGAAGGAAGGAGCAAATAAGCCCTGCAGATACCTCTGGGGGGAGTGATCTAAAGGAGGAAACAGCATAAGAAAGACCCTGAGGTTGAGTGTGCTTGGCAGGATCAAGGAACAGCAAGGAAGCCAGTGGGTGGGGATGGGGGTGTGACAGGAGACTGAGCCTTGAATTCACAGAAGCATTCACAGAGGTCCTGGGGATGCCTGGCGGGTGTACGTAAGGACGGGGGCTTTCCCTCTGGGTGGGATTGGGAGCCCTGATTGAGCAGAGGTGTGATGTTATTGACATACTGTAAAGGGATTGGTTACTCTGGCTGTCATGTTTAGAATAGATTTTTAGGGGACTGTAAAGGCATTCTGTGAAACTGGTAGTGAAGCTATTGCAATAATATTTGCAAAATATGTTATGTGCCTGAATAATACTATGTGCTTAATAACGGCTAGCCGTTATCTATTTATTGGGAACCCTGGATAAAGCTGATGTCCCCTTTGCTTCTTCCAGAGGTAACTGCTATATCAACTTTGTATATATCCTTTCTCTTTTTCTTTGTAATTACAAATAGATGCATATTCCCATAGAATATATAAGATGGCAGCAAGCCCTTACTCAAATCCTTTGAGGCAGATGTGTTTTGGAATTGACAGTTTTGGATTTTAGGTAGATGGTATGGTGTATACAGCATGAAGTCTAGTCTAGAATGGCCTTCAGATGATGCCTCCTAATTAAACATAGTATTTCTGCAGTGAGATGTTTGGCTAATTACATGAAATGAGATAAATAAGGGCTGTAAGAAACCTCAAATCAATTCAAGGTAGGATTTCATCTGAATGAGTTTGCTGCCTAACTTGGGATTTTAGGATTTCAGAATAATAGAGAATCTGTTTTTGTTTTGTGTGTTTTGTTTTACTTGTATATAGCATTTTATGTGTATCAGTACTTTTTTTTTAAGCAATATTTTGTTTTTTTTTAAAGATTTTTAAAATTTATTTTTGCATACAAGAACTGGGGTGTAGGCCAGAGGTAGCTGAGAGGATTCACCAGAGACAGAATGGGATGCAGAACAGATGGATTTACTGAAATATACTGTTAAAAGGTCAGTGGGTAAAACAGGAGATGTCTGCTGCACTGTGTGGGCTAGCTCTCTGGCTGGGAATCGAACTCATGTTGCAGTGGCTGGTGATAGCTTGATAGCGCTGAGACTTTAACCTCTGCAACACCAGGGAGGCCCAGCAGTGTTTAACTTTTTTTTTTTTTTTTTTTAAGATTTATTTATTTATTTATACATACAATCACTGGGTACAGTCAGAAGCATGGGAGGGTGAGAGAATTCACCAGATCCAGAGCAGGGAGCAGAACAGGCAGAGGATCGAAGTACACTGCTGAGGGGAGCAGCGGGCGGCAGGAGAGGTCTGCACGCCATGTTGGACCCTCCTCCAGTGGCTGGGGAGCAGCCGGGGATCGAACCAGTGCTATAGAGGCTGCGGGCAGCTTCGCAGCCCAGTGCTCAACCGCTGCGCCACCGGGGAGGCCCAGTGTTTTACTTTTTGATGAAGTAATAATATGTAATACATACACACACACACACACACACACACACACTCATGGTTTGGAAGGCAATAGTATGATGTTTGCAATAAATAGAGCATATGAGCATTGCGAATAAATAGAGCAGATCCTCTCCAGTGTACTTCGGTCCTTCACAGAAGAACTGGGGTGTAGGCCATAGGTGAGGGAGGTGAGAGGATTCATCAGAGACAGTGGAGAGCAGAACGGGCAGAGCTACTGAAATACACTGCTGAGGGGAGCAGCGGAAGAGATAGGAGAAGTCTGCTGCAGTACATGTGGGTTAGCTCCCTGGCCGGGGATCAAACTCAGGTAGTGGCAGTGGTAGCTCTGAGACTTATCCTGAGGCTGTCAGGGAGTCCCAAAGTGGAGAAAATTTTCTTAGCAGATTGAATAAAGAGATAAAAAGCAGGAATCAGGAGGGGTGGTGGGAGAGAGGAAGAGAGAGGAGGAGTTTTGCTATGTTAATGCTTTAGTGAAAGACAACAGAGAAAATGGAGAAAGAAATTACAAAAGCAATAATATGAGGTTCTAGAATTGAAGGACATGAGTTTTTGTCTTTCTTCCTGGAGGCTTTTCCCAAATGTCTGGTATCCCTTGCCTGGTTAGTTGCAAGTGAGCCACTGACAGTCTGACTTGGAGCTTTGGGGAAGGGGTAACCTGTGCACTAGTTTGGATCACAGCGATGTGACCGGGCAAGGTTATTTAGCTATTTTTGCGGCAAGCCCTAGATGTCTGCATTTGGAGACTGTTATTCTAGGGCTGTTATTCCCCCATCCCCACCCCTCCACCAGAAGAATTCTTGAACTCCTGCCTGGGAGCTGGCTGTGACACCAGCAGGGCAAGAGGATGAAGGTGTCTCTGTCAGTTTGCAGACTTTGATGTAAGTGCCTTTCTCCAGTGAGGCCCAGGGTTCCCACTCCTATCCTCATATTTGGCATCCAAGGCTCAAATTTTTGTGGTTCATCCTCTCTCTGTCTACATTTCCTGCTTGTGGGGACAAGAAGAGGCTTGGCACAGGGTGGCGGGGGCAGCATCTGGGTGTGTTGGTGCTCTTTCCAAAGACTTCCAACCTTTTCTTTACCTGTCAGCCCCACTCCCTCACTGCCTCCTGCAGGGCCTCTGGTGCTTCTGACTCCTGAGTCTCTCAGGGGTGCCACAGGGAGGATCTGACCCTGTGCCTTTGGCAGATGTCTTAGCAGGCCAGAGAATGCCAAACCCCAGGGAGTCCTCAGTTTGTCACTTTTTCTTCCAGATGTTTTTGACAACTCTTCTCTACTCTCATATTATTTCTCAACCTCTTCGTCCTGTGCTTTTATACCCTTTGGTAAGGCTTCATGTAGAAATTGGAGTAAATTTAGTTTGTATAAACCCTGACCTGAAAGCACCTGTTGTTTCAGTCACTTAAATGGCATAAACCCTGTGGGCCCAGCGCCTTTCCTGCTGCTGGAGGTGCCATCGTGCACAAAACAGACACACATTCCCGCCCTTGTGGAGTTTCTGTGCTTAACTCTCACAAGTTAAAGGTGAAGTGTGTTAGATGGTAAGACGTGCTGTGGAGAAAAATTTAAAAAAGATCCAGGTAGGAAGTACTGCATGGCGAGCAATAATCTTTTCAGGTAGGTGGCCGTGGAAGGCTTCTTTGGAAAAGAGCCATTTGAGTAAAGAGATCAAGAAGTGTGGTTACTGCTTGTGTTGATAATCTGGGGGAAGAATGTTCCAGGCAGAAGGAGGAGCCAGTAGTGCAAGGGCCCTCTGCAGCAGTGTGCCAATTCCCAGGAACAGCAGAGGGAGCGGTAGGGCTGGATCACACGAAGGCCTGGCTTTCCTGGTGAACTTGGGGGGTGGTGGGGTTTGCATGGAGGCTATAGGACCTGGCTGGCCTCGGGTATGTAACCGCCACTGTGGCTGCTGTGGTGAGAATGGTCTGGGCGGGTGAGGGCAGAGCTAGGGAGACTGGTCAGGCGACTCCAGCAGTATCCCAAGTCACGTGGACGTTGTGCGTGGGTGAGTCCTGGACTTGCTAGTGAACTGGAATGTAGGATGTGAGAGAGGGATAGCCAAGAGTATTTTAAGGTTCATAGCTCCCTCGGGCATTTGAAACTGCGGAACCGTGGCCTTATGTAAGTTGTGTGTCTTCAGTCTGTTAAATGAATGCTTTGCTAAAAAATAGCCACGGGAGCACTTTAAGTAATTTTGCCTGACAATCTGTAACTCTTCTTTTTTATAGCTCTTCACAGAATATGGCCGTCTGGCGATGGATGAAATTTTCCAAAAACCCTTCCAGGTAGGTTATTAGCTATAAATGCAATTCATATTTTTGTTTTAGTTGAGAGATAGCACTCAGGCCCAGTCTGGCCGGCTGCCTGTTTTTATATGACCTATGAGTTAGGAAAGGTCTTTATGTTTTTAATTGGTTGAAAAAAAAATTGAAAGGAAAATATTTCATGATGTGTAAATATCTGAAGTTTAAAGGTTAGTTTCTGTGGCTAAAGTTTTCTTGGAATATAGCCATGCTTCTTTGCATTGTCCACCACGGCTGCTTCTGGCTACAGCAGCCTGAAATGTTTACTCTCTGGTTCTTTACGAAAAGTCTGCTGACCTCTGCTATAGCTAATTGTTTCATGAGGATGGGGAGGCACAGTGACCTCAGAGTGGATGAGCTTGGAGTATTATTATGTACTTTCCCTCTCCTTTCTGATGTTGAAAGTAGGCCTGGGTTTGTACGCAGCTATTGCCATATTGTTTCCTCTCTCATCTTTTAGCACATTCCCCATACTTGCCTTTAGATCAGAGCCCCAGATTTAGCATTTTCTCATCCGCTTCTTCCTTCTGTTCCCATAAATCCATGGGATCAAAAATAGCAGATGGGATATACTGATCTCACATTTGGCCTGTCCATGTGCCTGCAGTGTAGATAGGGACATGCAGAATAGATAAACCCTTCAGCACATCTTCCTGCCCCCTCTAAGAAGCTGGCATTATGCAGAGAAGTATTTGTTATTTTGAAAATGCACTTATGCAACATTTTAACTAGTCTGCTCTTTTCCTAAAAAGACATTGATGTTTTTAGTTCGAGACTGGAGTTTTCCTTATGAATACAGCTATGGACTAGAGGGGGGAATGTCCTTTTTGGATAAACGTCTGCAGGTAAGTAGGACTACAATCTGAGGAATCACCTAAAAGTACTGATCTCTCTCATTTGCATATAGCTGTTGTTTTTAGAAGATTATGGAAAATGATATTAAGTGTATTAAATATTTATGAACATTAGTACACACTAATATGGGTCCTGCTAAGATTAGAGAAGATGGGTCTGGGCACATGTGCCCCAGGACTATAGAGTATGTGCCTTTAGAATGTCACATTCAAACTTCATTTCTGTTGTATTTATTCAAAATCTTTTTGTTTTGGGATGGACATAAACAGGCGTAGCCTGTTCTCCAAAATGAAAACAGAGAAGTCTTTTGTCTCAGTCACTACTAAGACACTACTAACTGGCTAGGTCACTACTAACTGGCTAGGTCCCCCTCATGCTCACAAACCTTCTCTTGTTTGCCCTAAGTATTGCGCAATGCTCCTTTAAGAAATCCTTTAGTACCTGTTCTTTGGTAGCTATAGGAACCAAGCCATGGTTAACCAAATTTGTACATTTATTGCTTTGTAGGGTTCTGAGTTTTCCCACTGGAAACATGGGCCACTGTGACCCATGAGATTTAGAAAGTCTTCTTTGCTTTCTCGTGCCAACTGTTGGTTCCTAGGAAAGAAACACAGTGGTCTGTTGTAAATCGTGGTCTTCCTTGGCAGGTGAAAGAGCACCAGCATGAAGAAATTCAGAGTGTCCGAAATCACATCCACTCATGTTTCTCCAAAGTCACCTGTTTCCTCCTGCCACATCCAGGGCTCCAGGTGGCAACAAGTCCTGACTTCGATGGGAAATTGAAAGGTGTGTTACAGATGATGCTTTATTTTTTTTTTTTTTAAGATTTATTTTTAGTTATTTATGCATACAAGAACTAGGGTGTAGGCCAGAAGTGCGGTGGGGTGAAAGGATTCACCAGAGACAGAGTGGGCATCTATGGAAATACACTGCTAAGGGGAGCAGCAGGTGAGACAGGAAAGGTCTGCTGTACCATGTGGGTCAGCTCCCTGGCCAGGGATCGAACTCGTGTTGCAGTGGCTACGATAGCTTGATAGTGCTGAGACTTTAACCCCTGTGTCACCAGGGAGGCCCATATGATGATGTTTTAAAAATGTGTTTTGATCTTTGGAATTAAATAGTGACCAGAAAATGTGAACTGTGCGTCCACTGAATGCTTAAGAGGATTAGTGTATTTTCTTAGAAACAACAGCATTCAGAGTCTAGCTTGGAATTCATTCCTGCTTTACTGTGACTGTCAGAATCAGTTCACCTTCATGGGGGTGGTGATGTCCAGCGATGACCTTCCCAAGTGACAGGCTATGATGATTGGTTTACAAGAGTTGAAAGTGCTAAATAAAGGAAGGTTAAATATTTCCTCAAGAAAGATAACATGATGCATGGTTTAGCTGTGGTTCATCTTACCTGTAGTCACTGCAAAACCTGGTACTGGGACATGTTTCAGTGTCAGGAATTGCTGACTCCAAGGGCGCTTAGCAAGACCAGAGTCGGGGCTCCTGGGTCTCATTGCTTATTTTTGGTTCCTTGTTCATTGAGACTTTGAGTCACTTGATGGCTAGCCCTCAGTTTACATGTGAGATAAACTAAACATTTTTGTCTATAAACTTACCTGAGCCCAGTAAAATGGAAATAATCATAGCTTTGAGTTATAGTAGAGGTTAAATAGGGAGAGGAAGTTGCGTGTGTAGGTGATGTGTTCTTTTAGGGTTACAGTGCCATTGTTAGGCGTAATTTCACCAAACCTAAACTCTGCTTTGTTCATCACTGGCAGGGAAGATGCCCAGTAGAATTCTTAATTGAGGATGTTTGGGAGGGGTGGGTTAGCATGACCCCTCATCCTTTTCCTCCTGACTCAGAGTGTTTCAGATGATGGGGCATAAACATACAAAATGGCATTCCTCCATATTTTTAAAGCATTTTAATCATGTTATGTTGTTCTAGAATATAGGAAAATAGGAAGTTTGTTGTTTTTTTTTTTTAAACTCCTGCCAACCACCAGTCTACTCCATTTCTATGCGTTTTGCTTTTTTTTTAAATTGAGGTAACTGATCTACAGCACTGTATGACTGTATATGATTCAGAGGCAAGAATCACACCTCCTCAGGAGCCTGTCACAACGCCACACCCACCACCAAAGCATCCTCAGCCTCCACCAGTGTCTGCTTGTGCCCCCTCTTCTCTCTCTTCTCTGCATCTCCCCTTCCCCTTCTCCATCGTGTTTCCTCAATTCTACAGTCCGATTTCTAGGATATGTTATTGGTTTGGTTTTGTCTGACCCTGTGTTTTATTTCTCCATATTCCATCTGTAAGTGGTACCACCCATTGTTTGTCTTTCTCCTAATTTATTTTGCTTTGTATTATCCCCTTCAGTTCCATCTGTGTTGTCTCAAATGCCGAGAGTTTGTCTTTTTTATGACTGAGTAATATTCCACTGTGTATATAGACCACATCTTCCTAATCAACTTATCTGTCTTTGAGCACTTAGGTTGTTTCCATGACTTGGCTGCTGTAAGTGGTGCCATGCTGGGCCCTATGGTCATCCTATTTTTAATCTTTTGAGAACCTCTGTGCTGTTTCCAGAAAGGCTGTCTACATTCCACCAACAGTGTATGAGGGCTCCTTTTTTGCCACATCCTTGCCAACACTTGCTGTTTCTGGTCTTTTGTTAAGGGCCATTTGTAGTTTCCTGATGAAAGTGATGATGAGCACTTTTTCATGTGTCTGTTGGCCATCTGTATGTCTTCTTCGGAGAAGTGTCTGTTTAGCTCAGGAAGAACTTTAAAGTTCTATAACCCTGTTGAAAAACCCTTGACATTCTGTATCACTTTTGGGTGTGCATAATGCATTAGTTTTCTAGGACTGCCTTAACAAATTGCCACAAACTGGGGTGACTTAAAACAATAGAGATTTAGTTCCTTCATGGTTTGGGAGGCCAGAATTTAGAAACCAAGGTGTCAGTAGGGTTGATTCCTTTTGGGGCTCTCACAAGAGAAACTGTCCTAACCTTTTCTCTTCGCTTCAGGTGGTTGCTGGCAGAGCCTGGCACTCCTGGTGGTTTGTTTTTTTTCCACTCCAATTTCTATCTCCATCTCACTTGGACACCTTCTTTGTGTATATCTGTGAGTTTTCCCTTCTTGCAAGGATACCACTTTCTGGATTTACATCTCACCCTAATCCAGTTTGATCTCACTTCATTAGCATATTATATCTGTAAATGAATTGAAGTTAACCTGTTCCTGCAATGGGCCAGACAGTAAATACTATAAGGCTTTGTGAACCATACAACTATTTAGCTCTGCTGTTGTAGCAAGAAAGCAGCGGTAGTCAGTATGTGAATGAATGGGCATGGTTGAGTTTCAATAAAACTTTATTTTCCAAATAGCAGGCCATAGTTTATCCAGCCGCTGTTAGTTTGCCAGTCCCATGTCTAGAACATCAGTACTGTTGCCTATTTCTGTGTGCTTCCTCCCAGTCATCCCTGCCTCCCCACATAAACAATCACTACTCTACATTTTGCTTATTCTGCCCTTGATTTAAAAAAAATTACATATATTTGATTAACTTAAGAGTTTAATAAGTTTCTTTAGTTTTGAATCTGGAGTTACCCAAGGATATGTGCTTTAAAGCAGAATTTTGGGATGTTAGAGTGTATGTCTTCACCTTATTAGGTCATGCCGAATTGTTTTCCAAAGCAGGTATTCTGGTTTATAGTCCCCACATCAGTGTTTATAAAATTTCTCATTGATCCATATCCTGGGCAATGTTTGGTTATTATCACTGTGGTCTTAAAATGTATTTATTACTAATGAGACTATATATGTTGTCATGTATGTATTTCCATTCATGTTTCTTTCCTGTGAAATTCCTGCTTACCCAGTTTTCAATTTAGCTGCTTGTTTTTCTTTCTTTCTTTTATATCCAAAAGGGCAGGTTTATTATAAAAGGGAGAGAAGAATAAAGGCCACTTGCATAGATACAAGCAGGCAGAAAGGGCTGTCCCGACAGGGACAGGTTTGCTGAGAGAGGCCTGCGTGGTCGCAGGCAGGCGGCCTTGAGGAGCACCGCCTCTGCTGAGGGATGTCAGTGCAGAGAAGCCTGGGCTGGTGCAGGTCATGGGCAGGCAGGAGGCTGCTGCCCCGCGGAGGGAGAGAGTTGGTGGCGAGGAGCACCTGCATAGGCACAGGTGGGCAGAAGGATGCTGCTGAGTTGCTTGTTTTTCTCTGTGATGTGAAGATCCTGTGCTTGTCTTAGACATGGCCGACCCTTTGCTAGTTATGAGCTGCAGAGGGCGCCTTTCCTCTTGTTGCTTGCTGTCTTCTTTCTGGTGCCTTAGTCTTCATGTGGTTGATTCTCGCCTTTGAGTTTGTTTCTAAGTCTCATTTTAGAAAATCCTTTTCTTTACACATACACAAGTGTTGACTCTCATACACTCACATGGACGGGGACACACACACACACATGCTCACATACATATTTAGTTTCTTGGAATTGAAATTCCTTTACATGTGAAGTTGAGCTGGAGTGTGAGGGTTTTGTTCTATGCTCACTGTGGTTGAATACGTCTCTTTGGCTTATTGCTTCTTTCTTCATGGTCCTGTGAACAGATGTTTCTGGTGAATTCAAAGAGCAGTTACAGACGTTGATACCATTTGTATTAAACTCGGCTAACTTAATGGAAAAGGAGATCAATGGCTCAAAAGTCACCTGTCGGGGGCTGTTGGAGTATTTTAAGGTACGTATGGGTTTTAATTATTGGAAATGTTTGATTTTGGGCAAAACTGATCTAGGTTTAAACTAAGTTGAATTTAATTTTTTTTTTTAATTTTTTTTTTAAAGATTTATTTATTTTATTATTATTATTATTATTTTTTATACAAGCACTGGGTACAGTCAGAAGCGGGGGAGGGTGAGAGAATTCACCGGAACCAGAGTGGGGAGCAGAGCAGGCAGAAGGACCAAAGTACACTGCTGAGGGGAGCAGCGGGCGGCAGGAGAGGTCTGCGCGCCATGTGGGACCCTCCTCCGGTGGCCGGGGAGCAGCCGGGGATCGAACCGGCGCTGCAGAGGCTGCAGGCAGCTTCGCAATCCAGCGCTCAACCGCTGCGCCACCGGGGAGGCCCTAAACTAACTTGAATTTAAATTTAAATTAAAACTTAGAGCAGGGCCTTCCTGATGGTGCAAGGGGTTAAGCACTGCACTATGAAGCAATCTGCAGCCTCTGCAGCATGAGTTCAATCCCTGGCCGGCCAGGGAGAAACCCACATGGCAGGGAGAAACTCTCCTGGCTCGCCTGTTGCTCCCCTCAGCAGTGTATTTCAGTCAGTCTGCCTGTTCTGTTCCCCATTCTGTCTCTGGTGGATCCTCTCACCCCCTGCATCTCTAGCCTGTACCCCAGCTCTTGTATGCATAAATAAATAAATCTTAAAAAAAAAACAAAACTTAGGGCAGGTTTCACCGGGGAGAGGGCACTTTTAGACATCTATGTCCTTCCACGAGTGGGCCACTGGGTGGCAGTATCAGCTAAGAACCAAGGAGATGTTCTTTGCACTCTTTTAGAGGAGCAATTACTGTGGCTAAAGGAAGATTGTTCCTCAAGGAAGATGATGTGGACAGGAGATGGGTAGGAAGTGGCTGTGAGTAGGAGCCGGCACCTAGATGGGACATGACCCCTCAAGGCGGATGGTCACCCTGCCCCCAGGTAGCGGCAGCCAGTGTGCATGGGGAGTCTGCGGGGAGCCAGCCTTGTGGGCTCATGCTGTGTGGGAGCATTTAGTTAGCTAAAAATGCTAACATGCACTTAAAGATGTGTTGTGTTTTTGCTAATTCCTGGGTGTGAAATCTAGATCTTTAAGAAAATGCAGTTGTTTCTAAAAATGAAAGTACTTTTAAATAAGACAGATGACGTTTTTCATAATTGTGTGTATGTTCCTACCCTAAGGCATATATTAAAATTTACCAAGGAGAAGATCTGCCTCACCCCAAATCCATGCTCCAGGTAAGCAGCTCTCTGCGGCCTGAATGAGAGTCTGGCTGCTTGAGACACAGGCAGTAAGCAGGATCCTTCCAGAAGACTGTTGTTCTCCCTTCCCATTCTGCAGAGACCTGTTACTGTCTGGCATGTTTTCTAGTGGTGAGACGGCCTTCGGTTTTCTGGTCTGTGTTGGTGGGGTACATTTGAGACAGGACGGCCTCCCTGGGCCTGGCCTCCCACCATACACACTGTGGAGAACAGTTTTTGTTCTGTACAGGTAAAACATACCCAGTTATATCGACAAGTCATTTTTCTGTTTTCTGTTATCTTCCTGTTTTAGTAAATAGTAAATTTGCAAATCTACAAATAGTAAATTTACAAATTTACAGCTGGTTTTCTAGTTTCCAGCTGGTCTTATTTTTAAGATTTTGATATTTTCAAGGTGTTATTTTATTCAAGCTACAATTTCTTTCTCATGAGCTGAGCATGAGGCCATTTATTGCCCAATGTTTGTTTCTTTAGTAGCAAAACATTTTTACAAAGGAAGCTCGAGCCTGGAATTGATGTCATATAGATAGCTTTTTCCTTTTTTTTTGATCTACATCAAAAAAGTTTAAAGCTGAAGCAAAGGAAGTGATATTTCTGGAAGTTTAATGTGTCGTAAGGATTCTTATGTATAAGAACATTGTTTTGGCAGAAAATTTGTCAGAAAAGGTATATTTTATTTCATAAATTGTATGAAATGGAAACCTACAAAGAAAACCAAGCCAAAACCAGAAGAACAATAAAAAAGAAAGAATGGCGGAAACTTTTACTTCTTATTGGTGGAAGGATGCGGAAAGAGGAAGGGTTTGTGATTCATGCTTTCCTTTCTTGAAAGGCCACTGCTGAAGCCAACAACTTAGCAGCCGCAGCCTCTGCCAAGGACATTTATTATAAACACATGGAGGAGGTACGTGGCATGATTCCTCCTCTGACATATCTGTGACCCGGCTGTTGTCGCTCATGTCAGCAGCTCACACTGGGTCCTGCTGAGTGTCCTAAAGGCGACTGGCCTCTGGAGCTGAGTCACGCCCTTCTCCCTTGTCGGGCCTTGTAATGATGGTGTTCCTTACTGGGTCTGTGTCTCTCTGGGCCCAGCACCCTCAGTGTTTAAGTTGTTTCTCAGAGAAAGGGGTGCCCAACATGGTCCTGGTCATCACTCGGAAGTTAGTTTCTCACATGGTGCTCTCATCCGGGCAGCATCTTTCCTCCTGTTCTGTTGGGCACTGGACTTTGAAGGGCTCTTCCATATATTGTGTCTTTATTCTTTTTAGGTCTGCGGAGGAGAGAAACCTTACATGTCTCCAGACATTTTAGAGGAGAAGCACGCTGAGTTCAGGCAGCTCGCTCTCGACCATTTTCAGAAGACCAAGAAGATGGGTGGGAAGGATTTCAGCCTCCGCTACCAGCAGGAGCTGGAGGAGGAGCTCAAGGAGCTCTACGAGAACTTCTGCAAGCACAACGGCAGCAAGAACGTCTTCAGCACCTTCCGCACGCCTGCCGTGCTCTTCGCGGGCATCATGGCCCTGTATGTCGCCTCCGGCCTCACTGGCTTCGTTGGGCTGGAGGTCGTGGCCCAGCTGTTCAACTGTGTGATCGGGCTGCTGCTCATCGCGCTTCTCACCTGGGGCTACATCAGGTATTCTGGCCAGTACCGTGAGCTGGGCGGAGCTATCGATTCTGGTGCAGCATTTGTGTTAGAGCAGGTAAGTGGAGCGGCCTGAGGAGCCCGGGGTTGACAACCTGTACGTGTCTGTGCTTATGTTGTCAGATATTTCTGTGTGGGAGCATTTCATAGTGAAAGAAGGTCTGAGGAACCTACTGTGGCCATTTTTTCCTGATAGCCTTTATGTTTGAATATCCTTTAGGTTGCTAGTATGTATGTTTTCCTAATATTTTGTTTCTGTGTCTAAAAGCTGCTCTTTTATGCAAAAAAAAAAAAAAAAAGACTCCGACTTAAGACACGCTGTGTTGTTCACAGGCTCTTCTGATTATATCCATTTATTACGTTCATTATATATTCCCATCCAAGATTGATGGGCTTCACTGGAAATCACGAGCTTTGGAAAGTAAGAACTTAAAATGTTGTTTGGAGTCCTTTTAATGGATGGGATCTCCTTCACCTAAAATCTTCCCAAAGCCTGTGATGTTGACTTTGTTATCGTCTCCAGGTTTACAGACCCTTGAGGCTCTGGTTCAGTTCTGTTTTTTTGGGGGGTATAATATTGACACATAACATTAGTCTTGCGCATGCCACACAGTGATGTGAAATTTGTATCTTACTGTCTCACCACGATAAGACTAGTTTACATCTGTCCCCATATGTAGTTAGAAAAAAGCATTTTCTTGTGATAAGGACTTTTCAGATCTACTCTTTTAGCAGATCTACTCTTTTAGCAGATTTCTTTTTCTGGCTGGTTTGAGTAGATCAGTTAGGTCAGGAGTGTGTAGGGACAGCGGGAGAGCTGCTCATCCTACCTCAGTAACAGAGCGGGGCCGCGGCCATCATCTTGGGAGCTGCCTGCCACAGGCCTCCCGGCCTCTTCCCTCCCCAGTGGCAGGAAAGGGAGACAGAGTTTTGAAAGTTATTCTCTGAGTATTTACTCTCTTGATCTTGTGCTGTTTTATCAACTTACATGTTGAATCTGGGGACTTTTGCAGGCGACGTCTCACATCGGTAATTCCACTCAGGCTGCTGTGAGGGATGCCCTTGTTGGCAGACCGCCCGTGGATAAAAAAACTCAATAGCAAGATAACAAGAGGCTCCAGCAAGAACCCGACCAGCCCCTGCTGATTTCTGGGATTCTGCCACAGCCACACATCTTGGTCCTGAGGAGCACAGGGCCACCCAGGATGAACTGGACATGGCACCAGTGAACGCACAGACCTCGCCTGTGGTCTCCAATCCTTGACACACTTCCATTTCTGCTGGAAGCATCTCTCTTCCTCGCTGATATAGATCCAAGCCTGTGTCTATTTTCTTATTATTCTGCTTTGTGCACTTTATGGGGGGGAAAGCTAAGGGAAAGAAGAGAAATATGGTTTTGAGTCCTTTCTTGTGCCGCTCAGTGCCTTGTAAGATTGAATCCAAGCTTTTGTGGACACGCTGGGGAGGGGATTGAGGATAGCCTCATGGAAGATGCTGTTTTGGGGTGAAACTTGTCGGTTCTTTCATACCTTACTCTCTTGAGCAGGAATTCTCTTTTAAAAAGTTTACGAAACTTACAAAAGCTTCAGAGCTAAAGACTGAAAATGATGCCATTATACTTTAAAATCTTATACCATCCTGCTTGTCACATAGTGTGGAAAAATCGTATCATATTTAAGTCCACCCTGAGATTTAAGGTCTTTGACCTGACAGGCTGGCAGTTTTGTGAGATGTTTTTTTCTGCCTTTGTTTCTATAGCTTCTTTCTAGAAAAGAGGCAAATATGCCTTGAAAAGTCAGTGGCCTATAATAAAAGGAATAAAAAAGAAATGAGCTTTTATTATAATAAGAGAAAAAAGCTTGAGGTTAAATGAACTCTGCGACCTCTGATTAGTCACTTGAACTTGTGCCTTGGTCAGCTTGTAAACATGTATGTATGTATCACACAGCACTCACGCAGTTGTCATTCCAGAGATTTTGTTTTCAAGAATACTGCATAAGAACAGAACTTTATTAAGGATTAGAGGAAAGACATGACCAAATATTACTGCCTTTAACAGATGTTCTATTTCATGTCACTTAGCAGTAAATCAGTTCTTTATCCAAAAATGGTTTCTTGCATGCTCTAATGTTTTTAATAATGAATCTAAAACTTGCCAATTTATTTAGTGAATCTCCCTTTATTTCACTTTACTTGACTAGTCTGATAGCTTTAAAATAGCTCCGGCTTAGTGAGGACCAAAATCTCACCCAAATATGGACACTATGTAAGTTTTTATTTACCTCGATTGTGTGATAAAATTTTTTCAGTCTATTACTTGCTTTTTTCTTTGATTCATAATGGTGAATTAATTGTGGATTTTAAAATGTCTTAAAACTTGCCTGCAAGTATTTATATATAAACATTCAGGTATAAGCCTTAATTCTGAAAATAATTTAATTTTTGTTGTGGGAGGGAAGTAGGATGACAAAGTCTAAGTGTAAATTGTAACTTCGTGAAGTATATAAATGAAAGGTGCAGAAAAGACAGCCTGTTCTAGCGTGGACTCTATCAGATAACTTCCTTGTCACTACTTTAACACTTTATTAAACTATTTTTGTGAGCAGTGAATTGAATTCCAAGAATTTTATATTCTTTTCATAGCTACATACCTTTGTGCCCAGAAGTTCTTCCTCTGTTATTTACTCACCATTAAACTTTAGATATGTTCCAGCTGTTTCTAAAAACTTGACTTGCACGTCATTGATGGTTAGCTGTGACTGTTAAATCGGAAGCTTCTGAAAATTTGGCATGTTTCCCCGGGGCCTCTCTGCCCTGAGGTTCATAGTTACTAGTTAGCTCACAGAGGTTGACATACTTTGCTTTTAACGCATTCTGTCAGCACACTGATTTGTCTTGGGTGGCCTTGCTTTTCATGGTGAGAAGGGGACAATATGTCTAAAACTTACGTCACACTTCAGTTTTAGGCCTTCTTTTTTTTCTTTTAAGAAATTATTATATAATAAATGATATAATCTTAGGGATTTGATGACTGCTTAACTGCTCACACTCACCATTTCTGTTTTGGCTCTTATAAAGGAAAAACTTGGCTTAATTACCATGGGGGAAGCCTTCTTGTTTTGTAATTTTTAATTTTTTTTGGGGGGGGGTCTTTATCAGTTAAACTTATCCTTCCTCTGAAAAGTGTTTGTAAAATTTTTTCACTGAGGATTTCTTTTGAGTTTTCTATGGCCTCTTTTTAACAGTAAATTGATTTTATGTTAGCTTTTTCAATAAGACGCATTCTTGTTGCTGACTGTAAATAGTTGAGAGGAGATTTATAATCAAGTTGAAAAAATGTCTTTGACCTCTTCCCTTAGCCTTTATTTTTTGGGTCAGGGACATTACTTGGGAATTCAGACTGTGTTTGCTTGGTGTTTATTGCTGTTCTACAACTGGCCGACCTTCCCACATGGGCATTTTTTAATTTGCACATTCCTAACAGTATATGGGACACATTCCTATTAACATAAAAAAAGTTTTCAGGATTTTCTATTAAAGCTCATTTCAGAAGTGGTGTTGCTAAGTTTCTTGTTTTTTAAATACTTCCAATTAGCTTATAGTAAAAGTAGACTCGGAGTTTCAATTCTTTCACTGAGAAATCTTTCTAAATTGGTTTGTAGACAAAATGAGGGCGGACTATCAGGCATAATGGTGATGAAATCTTTTTTTTTTTTTTAAAGATTTATTTTATTTGTACAAGAGCTGGGGTACAGGCCAGAGTCACGGGAGGGTGAGAGGATTCACCAGAGACAGGCAGGGAGCAGAACAGGCAGATGGACTGAAAGCACTGCTGAGGGGAGCAGCGGGGGAGACAGGAGAAGTCTGCAGTGCCATTTGGGATTCTCCCTGGCTGGCCGGGAATCGAACCAGTGCTGCGGTGGCTGCTGACAGCTTCACAGCGCTGCGCTAAAGCGGCTGCACCACCCGGGGAGACCCAGGTGATGAAATCTTGAAGCTTCAGAGTCGTACTTCATTTGAGGAATGTCCTACGGGATCTCTCTGTGGGTGATGCTTTAACGCTTTATCCTTGATAAAGTTGCCTATGAATGTTTTTGTTTTATTTTTTTCTCTTACTCAGCATGAAGCAAAATGCTTTAGGCAAACATACATACTGCCCTGTCCTAGCAGAGTGCCCTGAAGCAGGCCAGAACAGACCCACTGTTTACCTGGCTTTATAAAAGCCATGCCTTGCATAGGGAGAGTTTAGATAAGTATGTACTTAAGAATTATAAATAATTAAAATTTGAAGGAGATTTAAATCCAGGCAAAAGCAATAAAGTTTTATTTTTTCCCTGTTTTTTTTTTTAATGTAACTTTTATGGAAGTCTTCATAGAATGATTTCTCAAACTTTTGAAATGTAACATGGGATGCATTAGGATGGCTACCATTGGGCTAGGTCATTGAGCTTACATTTAGATCCGATAAAGTTTTTGGCAAGGAATAAGCGTAATGAACAAAAGCTTCACTTACGAAAGTAACAAATTTTTGTGTGCTTAGAATAGAAGACATTAAGAACAGTCTTTGTAAAAGACCTTTGCTTATCTTCCTGATGATAAGTTGTGTTACAGCTACACTTTGGGTGGTGGTGCTCATCTACCTGGGAGCATAACACTTAACTGGGGAGCCTTCAAAAAAATCCAAAACCCCAGCTTTATATCCAGGGATTGCCCCCGTCTGTCTAGGCCATGATCCTGGAACCACCACTTTTATAAATAGTATCAAGTTCAGAGGCCACAGCAAGAGAGACTTGGTGGGATGGGAAGTGCAACCAGTGTCTGGACACAGGTGGCCGACTCTCACCTGAGGTGCAGGATAGGGGGTCTGCTGGACACAGTCACTGAGCGTTTACAGCATTCAGAGTAAAGAGGATGCCTTTATTCTAGGTTATTTAAACTTTAAACTTTCTAAATTCAGATTATCAGTGCCTTCTCTGAAAAACGAATGTACAAGTATCCTATTTGCTAGTAGGTGTAATTTGGGTTAAAATTTTTTTGAAAGTTGTTTTTCTATTAAAAAGTGGAATTGAGCCCTGTGTTTTGAATCCCTAAATCTTCTACACACAGAAAACCTGAAATCACTAGTAAAAATTACGAACAAAAAGGAAAGGAAAAAAAAAAAAGGAGAGGATCATAATTTTGAAAATTACTGACACAAGTATCCCATATAAGGAACCTCAAAATAGATTTAGGGACAGAAATGTTCTAAAAGAACTTTTTCTTGGGAAGGAATTTCATGCGCCAGAACTGAGGTTTAAATGTGGTATTTTTATGACCAAGGGACGGTTGCATTTGATTCCCAAAGCTTTCTCACTTAGCTTTGAATAAATGCTGTCATGGACTTCAGCCTCTTTAAAGGCATTGATAGCGATCTTGAACATATATATATACATATTTTAAAATGATTTGTTAAAGTGACTTCCTTTTAGACTCTTGCCTTTGACTTTACAATTTAATATACTTCTATAAAAGTGCAATGGGATGAGATGCTATTAGTATATCAAAAGCATGTTTCTGTTTCTTCGTCGCAGGGCTGTTTAATGGAATAAAGATCAGCACTATGTTATCTGTGTGTGTGTCAGCGTTGTTCTTTAGTAGGGGACAGCTGTGACGGTTTGGCAGCGCTAACAGGGTATCTGAGGGGTGGAGAACTTGGTGATAGAGGTAGGGTGATTTCAGGGTGATCTCTCTCCTGCAAAACTGCGCTGAGTCTTACTAGCCTGGTGCTGGAGGCCGTGGTGGTGCTTAAAATCAAACACTAGGGTAACGGACACGGGAGGACCTAGCATTTGTAGCACTTCATTTGGTTGCCCATATGGAGCCAAGTGGTTCCACTTTGGGGTGAGGTGGGGTAAAGCTCAACTGAAACTTCTCATTCACTAGTGACCTTGGTGGCCCTGGGGGAGGTTTGGTTGAACTTGTCAAATACTGACTGGACTGCGCTGAGCCTCACATAAACAATGGGCGGTGGGCAGCCGGGTCCATCCACCCTTGAGTGTTGATGGTCCTGTTAGCACAAGCTGGGGGGAGGGAGCCAGCATGGGCAAAGGGGTCGTGTGTGGGTGGGGAGAAGTCAAGCAAAGGAAGGCTTGGGTGGCGCACCCTCCCCTCTGAGTGTCATGTCCATTTGCAAAAGATAAGTCTAGCTCCACTGTGCTTCACTGAGAATAGAGTTGTAACTGGCGAATAGTTTCTTGTAATTGGATGTCTGGGAGTAAAACTGACACCGACCCCGAAGCCCCCCTGAGGGCTATTATCTCAGGCGTGCAGTGGCCACATTATCTGCCCTCCGGGCTGCAGCTAAGGCCTGGCATCCCGGCCTCTGGCTCCCATCCTCCCACTTGAACATCCTCGGAAGAAAGAGGCTTAAAAAAATAATTCCACTGCCTATTAAAAGCTGTGTGTATCTAATCTCCATCCCGGAAAGGGCTTCTGACGGTCTGGCTTGGTCATACTCCTTGGAATCTGGAGCCTGGGGCACCTTCACCAGCCGGACCTGGTGACATGTCTCCCGTCACGGCCACGGGCCCAGCTCTGCCAGAGCCACAGCCACCGGGCAAGATGCTGGCCCACAAGCCAACAGCCCCTCGGCAGCTCCCCAGGCTGGCCACTCAGCAGTGGGGTGAGAGGCTGGGGCCCTTCTAGGACGGGTCTTTAAAGGGGAGCAGAGTCGTTGTACTCGGTGTTTCTCCAGTGGAGGCTCTTCAGAGATTTGTTCTCGCCTCTTCCGTAGGATCTGAGGGGTCTCAGAGGAGGAATCCCGGGGAAGTTATTATACTCCGTCTCCCCGCGCCCCCCCTCCCCGCCCCGATTTTCTGGTCGGAACAAGCCTCTGACACAAGCCTCCCGGGACACCTGGACACCTGTTGGAAGCAGGTGCTCTGCGGCTGCCGGCTCGTCCCTGTGGTGAGCGAAAAGCTGCAGCGGGGTGAGAGGCCGCCTTGCCGCCGCCCCCCTCAAAGGCTTTTGCTCCCCACTCCCCCTTTCTTCTTCTGAGCCTACCCTGCCGCGGTGTGGAGGTGAGCAGAACCCCCGCGGGGTCTCCTGCCCTCACCCCGCCTCTTCTATTTCGCCCTGGGCCATGTTGTCCCCTTTCTCGGCTCCGCCTTCCACAGGCTCCCCCGAGAGGGGCTCCTCCTGGGGCACGGTCTCGGCCTCTGCGACTCCCTCCCCAGCCCCCCACTCCCCCCAGGAAGGGGGCGCTGCCCAGAAGACCCGAGACGGCCGGGTCACGGGGCTTGGACCCTGCCGGGCTGGACACTCGGGGGTGACGGGGGTGGGCTGAGGACGCCTCCTGGTGAGGGCGCCCCAACACCGGGCCCCGGGGCCGGGGCTCCTGCATGACAGGCAAAATCACCCCGTCCCGGCATCCGGCCCCCTCCCCCCGCACCCCGCCGTGTGCTTTTGTCTCTCCCCGACACCGGCCATTGCGGCGGCGGAGCGCGCGGACTCGGAGAAGGTCTGTCTCCCCAAACCTGAACCCCTCGTCCCGGCTTCCCCCGGCCTCAGGGCGCGCCCCTCGCTCGGCGCACACAGCCCGGCGGGGCGCGGCCCGACGCACCCGCGACGTGGTTACTTTGCCTCGGACTCCCCTGGTGGCGGAGCCGCGGGTGTCGCGCGCCTCCCAGGTGCGGGGCCGCCCAGGTGCGTCGGCAGCGGCGCAGGTGACCGGGTGCGGCCCGCGCGCCGGCCGGGGCGCAGCGCCTGAGCAGCGCCGTCTGCTGCTCGCTCCCCTCGAGGACGCGCCTTTACGGGGTACGCGGTCACGACGCCGCCGTCACCCCCCACGGGCCGGGCGGGCCTGCAGGTGCGCGGGCGGGGCTGGACTCGCGCGCGGCCGGGGCTCCGAGCTGCTGGGGTTGGGGGCGCCATGGAGACGAGCAGGGGCGGCTTCTCCGGGGTGGGGCGCGGGGCGCGGGGCGGGGGCGGCACAGCTCGGGGCCTGCTGCCTTCCTTCCCCGGCCACTGCGCGCGGGGTTTGGGGGCGTCGCCGCTTAGCGCCCGGTGGCTAAAAGTGCTTTTCCCTGAGGGGCCCCTGGGCTTTGAGCGCTTTGCAGTTTTAATGCAGCTTTAGCCGATGAGTAAATCGCGCCACCCTCAGCGTACCCGGGGATCAGGCAGAACCCAGTCCTTGAATACCGGGGGGCCTGGAAGGGGTGCGGGGTGCGGGGGGTGCGGGGCGACCCGGGGGGCCGGTCCCGAGCCGGGTGGCGCGGCCCAGGGCGGCGGGCGGCGCGGCCCGGCTGTCCCGAGGCGGGGGGGGCGGGGGGGGGGGCGGGGGGGGCGTCCCTGGGCCGGGGCTGGGTCCGGTTACCCCGTCACGCGGGGAGGGGCCGCGTGACCTCACCCCGCCGCCGTCCGCGGCCATTAAACTCGCTCCTGACGTGGCGGCGGCGCTGACTCGGAGCGGCGAGGTGGGTGGTCGGGTCCTCCCGGGACTCGGGAGGGTGAGGTGTTCGGGGGCCGCTCCCGGCCCGCGGCTGCGTGGGAGGCGGGGACTTGGGGTGCGCTGGAGTAAACAAGTTCGGCGGCCGAGTCCCGGCGCGCAGGGGCGGGAGGAGCGCGGTGCGGCCCGGCCGGGCTGACTTTTTGGGGCGCGATGCTCCTGGCGAGCCGACGCCGACCGCGCGCCCCGCGGCTGCGCCACCTGCTCGCGGGTGTCGGGTGGGGGCCCCGGCCCTCGCGGGGTGGGGGGGTTCGCCGCCTGGTGCAGGGCAGGAGCAGCCCGCGAGGCGCTGCGCGGGTGGGGTGGCGGCTCCCCGGCGGTCGGAGACGCGCCCCTCGCGGCCTCCCTGCCGGGACCCGTCGCCTGCTGAGTCTGGGGGACTCGGTCTCCTGGTGGTGAATCCCTGCCCCCCTGCCAGGTGTCCACGCGGCCGAGCGAGCGAAATCCAGTGTGACATTGAGGTTCCACAGCCCGAAGGAAGATGCGCGCCCTCATTGTAAGTGTGGGGTCGGGCGGGCTGGGGTGGGGGCCCTGCGAGGGTGGGGCCTCCTCGCCCTGGAGCCCGAGTCTCGGCGCCCGAGAGGATCCTCGAGGGGGGGGGCCGCGCCCCCGCCGGGGCTGAGCATCAGGTGTCAGGCGGGGCGCAGCCGGCGGGCACCTCTGGGAAGCGCCTCGTGGGTCCGGGTGGAGGCCCCGGCCCGGGGCAGACCCGCGCGGAGACGGGCCCTGCGGGACGCGGCGAGGGCGGCCCCTCTCTCCGCGACGCCCTCGCTGCTTTCCTGGGTCGGAGCAGCACCTCTGGCCCACTCAGGGGGCGAGTGTGGGGCCTGGAGCTGCCTGCGAGGGGCTGACCCCACAGAGGCCCTTTCTGCCCTTAGCTCATTCACCTTGTGGCCAGCTAGGAAATTCCTTTTGCTAACCGTGCGGTGGTTCAGAAGCCAAAAAGGAAGGCAAGTGCTTCCTCTCCACCTGCTGTGGAGAGTTTCAGAGCTGGAGGTCAGGTTCCCAACCCCTGTGGGACTGGTCAAGAAGATTCTGGGGCTTCACATTTACGAAGTTCTGGGGACAGTGCTTTGTGCGCTTATCAAGTGCCCTGCCCTAATTCACTGCTAATATTATTTTAACCCCCTCAGTGCCTGGCATCAGGGTGTGCCTGGTGCATTGGATGTCTGGAGGGGTCATTTAAAAATATCTCTTTCCTTTAGCAACATTATTGTCAGTAATAATCACAAAATGGAGAAGATGCAGTGAGAATTTTCTTTTATTGAGCTGTGTATATGAAATCCTGTGTGAAACAGTGAAAAATGAAAAAGGTATAGATCAAAAATAGAAAAAATAATGAATTGATAGTTTGTAATGGCATGAATGTATTTTAAAATGGAAAAAATCTTAATACCTACAGGCTGATTGCAGTCATGGATAATACTAACATTACAGTGTCTGTTTTGGAAACTTAACTTCTGAGCAGTTCTCCATGACTTTGTCAATATTGATCTTTGCATTTTCATGTTCAGTATTCAGCAGAGCTAGCTTTATCAGTCCCACTTTGCTCCAGTTGAAGAAAGGGCATTTTATTTTAAAAAAATTTTTTTATTTATTAAGTAACTTCACATCTTTTTTTTTAAATAAATGTGACTTTTTTTTTAAATTTTATTTTTGTATTCCCCATACAAAATAACCTTAGTGTGTCTCTGGTTCATAGTTTTTTGTTGATTTTCATTTTTTCTTTCTTATAGTTATTCTTTTTCCTGGTCCCTTGTTTAGGTTTTCTAGATTCTTGCTATGAGTGAGACCATCCGGTATTTTTCTTTTTCTTTCTGGCTTATTTCGCTGAGCATGATCCCATGGAAGGGCATTTTAATCAATTTTTATTAACCCATAAAAATAGATCAACCTATCAAAATAGATTGATCACAATTAATAAAATCTATTAAACTATTTTAACTTCACTTCTCTCGCCTGAAACAGCACATCTGTTTAAGGAAAAGCCTTAGATATTAGGGCTTGTCAAAGACAAATAGAAAGCCCCTTTTCACAATAAATTCCAGAAATTGCAATACTGTATGTCTCTTAAAACATTTCTAGTTTTTAAATATCTCCACATTCTAAATATTTTAACTAAAACCTCTTCACCAGAAAACTCATCCTAAGTTTTCATTTTGTTTGGCAAAAATTCCCTCAAGTTTTTCTCACTTCTGTAAAAATCAGAGAAATGGCGAGCGATTAGGGAACACGGATATTTATTTACTCCATTGCTTTAGAGGGCGAGCCAGGCTCGTGGAGAACCTGGCCCAGACTTTGAAACACTCACTTTGAGTTGCTTCTGGCGGGTGACGGGAGAGCAGATTCTTTTGTCTTCTTAAGAAGAGGAAGATGTAGGTGAGCCAGGCTTAGTCACACAGACCTTGCCGCAAAGTGAGCTCCAGCTGGTGGGGGTCATTGGGAACTGAGTGTGGGAGCCCAGACACCCCGAGCCCAGTCTGTGTGTGGGGCTGTTGTAGAAAAAGATGTTCTGATTGAACTCCCATGTGGAAGACATAGCTTTGAAAAGAGTAAGAAATAAAAACGTGCTAATTGAGGCTCACGTATCACATCTCAACAGCGACTGTAGCGGGTAGGATTTAGACCAACTGGCTCTGGGCTGGGGAGTAGCATTTTATCACTGATATTCTTTATAATTGTGGGTTCCTGGTGATAATAAACAGCAGACTGACTCCTGGTGTGTCTTATTATTGTTTTAAAATTCTCCGTAGACCACTCACCCCTGTATGTCTGCGCCCAGGGATTATAGCGCCCACCTCCCCGCTCTGGGTGTGTCCCTGCCTGGGCCTCAGGGAGTCCCAACTGTAAGTTGTTACAGCAGCTTCAGGCACCCTTCCTGGGGCCACGTGCCAGGCTGCATGGCTCCCCCAGGGACCCACATTTCCCTGAGTCCTTGGTCTGGCGGTGAGGCCTGGGTCACACTGACCATTTTTCCCCTCTCTCCCTGCATCCACATTTGCCAGGCTGGGTGGGCCAGAAGGCTTTGTTTCCCTTCACCTTGCCCTTGACCTGGGGGGTTGCTGGGGAAATGAAGATGGAAAGTGAAAATGAGACGCTCCTGTGAAGCAGCAGTGGGGCCAGCCTGCAGGGGGGGAGGGGGGCTCAGCTTCCTCTCTTACTCTGCAGGACTCCTCCGGTTTGCTTGGTGTTCTGACAGATCTCTGTGGAGGGAAGGGGTTCATGCTCACTCTGGAGGGACCCCAGGCTGAGAGGGACTTGGGGAGTAAGCAGTGTCCCCGATGGAGGGGCTTGTGGCAGGTGGACTGGACCCAGTCCTGGGCGCCCAGTCTAGATGGCAGCTACTCCTTTTGGGTCAGCTCCACAGTGACAGCCACAGATAAGCAGGGTGTGGGCGGGAAGGCGGCCTCAGCACAGCCTGGGAGGCCGGAGGAGGTGGCTGAGCCCTTTTGAGGGATGAGCGGGAGTCTGAATGACCTGGGCGTCGAGACCCAGCCTGCAGTGAGTGGGAATGCTTGCTGTGGGCTCGCCATGGGCCTGCAGTACCCTTGTGGTAGCTACTTGTGTGTGGTGGGAGGAGCTTGGCCCCTGGACTGAGACGGTTCTGGCACTGCTTCTCCACCTCTGAGAACCTGGGCCTGTTACTTCCTGTCTCCATTTCCTGGCCTGTAAAAAGGCGCTGTATGAGTTTCTGGTAACTGATTGAAAACCCTGAGCAGTGCAGGGTGGTGGTGGCTGCCAGGGTGTGTGTGTGTGTGTGTGTGTGTGTGTGTTTGTAAGGGGGTGCAGTGGGGGGCTACCACATCAAATTTACCTGGGCCTAGAGGCCAGGAGCCCAGGAGGGCAGCTGAATTGGGCCTCCTCCTGGGATACTCATGGCCTCTGGGCTGCTGAGGCTGGACCTGGTGCCCGCTGGAGCTGCCACTGTCTGTGTCCCAGCAGCTCATGAGGGTAGGGGTGGCATCTGCCCTTCCCCTCCCCCAGCTTCTCTCTGGGCCTGAGGTTGGGAGACGGGCACCCACCCTTCCTGGAGTCTCAACTCCTCTACTTTTGCTCCCATGATCTCGTTTATTCCTCACACAGATTATGCTGGATGGTCTTAGCCCCCTTTTATCAGAGAAGCTCAGTGAGGTTTAGTGATTCCTGAAGATCACAGCAATAGGACACAGGGGGCTCAGTTGAGGGTGGACTGGGCTTTGCTTTTGAAAACAGCCTCAACACAGATGGACTGGCGCCCGGGCCACGGGTTTCTTTTCTTCCTGAAACCTTGGCATCGAAACTCTCAATTCCTTGCTGGCAAGTCCCTTGCAACTCTTGCCCTGGACTTTAGTCTTTCTTCATGTCACAAGAACTGTTCCCTGGAACACTGATGGAATGTCTTGAGGGATTTCCACATGCTCACCAGGGTGTGGTTTCGGAACACAGAGGAGAACTTGTCTGGGGCTGAGTTTTACAAGCTCCAGTGCCCCAGAGTCACCTCTCCACATCCACACACAACAATATGGCAGTGAGACCTGCCACTCCCAGCCCGTTCCCCAGGCACCAGGCCGCGTGTGTGTTTGACAGGGATTGATGCACCGATCCTCAGGGGGACAACCCGGTGCTTTGATGAACTTCACTGCACGGCAGAGGAAACTGAGGCTGGGAGAAGGTGCAGTTAGTAAGCAGCAGAGTCCGGATTTGGACCCAGCTGTGGGTTCCACAGCCTCCGGGCTGTGATCCATGGGCTGTTTCTGAAAACTCAGTCCTTGATGTAAACATGGAGGGTTGTGCTTCTCAGCTTACTTTCTGCACCTTTCCATATGCTGGAAATAATTCATTCAAAAATAAGACCGCAAACCCCTGTGCTGGGCTAAAGCAGGTGAGTGTGCGTGGCTTGGCCTTGAGTTCCTTAGCGGCCTTGAATCAAAGGAAAGCATTCTTTGTGTTTGTTTCAACCCTAGCACTGACAGCTCTTCTAAAAGTGCCCTCACCTTTCTCCGGGGCCCTTCCTGAGGCCACGGCTGAGGCTCTGGTACCGTCTGAGCGGCTCGTGGGCGGTGAAGCCCTGAACTCTGAACTCTGCTATGGGGCTGGGCTGTCTCCTTTCTTGTAGAGGAGTTTGGGGTCAACTTCTTACTTTGCCACTTTGAGGTTAACCCTGGGCACGTGCCCTCATCTCCCTTAGCTGCAATAACCCCCCTGCAAAATGAGGTGTGACTTCCCATTTCTGCCAAACCTCTCAGCTCCCCCTAGACATGCTCTCCTGTCCAGACCCACTCTGCGCTGCACAAGGCGTCACCTGCACGCTTTATGCAGGCCAGCCCTGGCTGCCCCAGGATGCTGCAGGGATTCTGCTTCTGGCTGAACCCCAAGCCCCTACCCCACTGTGCTTTGCTCCCTTGGTTCTGCACCCCTACCTACATGTTTCCACTGGCCCACTTTGCCCACGCCCTTCTCTGACTGCAGGAGTGTGAAGGCTGAGTATGGGATCTGGGTCTGAATTCTGTTTCTACCTCGTATGTGTTTCTCTCATTCTTCAAGACTTTTTTTAAAAAAGATTTATTTATTTATGCATACAAGAACAGGGGTACAGGCCAGATGTGCAGGTGTGGGGGCAGGGCAGGGGTGAGAGGATTCACCAGAGACAGAGTGGGGAGCAGAACAGACAGACTGACTGAAATACGCTGCTGCGGGGAGCAGCGGGCCAGAGAGGAGAGGTCTGCTCACCATGTGGGTTGCTCCCTGAACTTGGGTGCTGAGACTTAACCCCTTGCACCAGCAGGGAGGCTTCTATTTTGGTTTTTATTAATAGCTGTTTAGGTTGTTTTTCCAATAGGACGTTGGGAAGCCTGAAAATGCTCTTCAATTTGCTTGTTAGGGAAAATGATGGTTACACAGCTTATTGTGACGGGGCTTTGCAGGAGAAAGACTTTTTGTTCGGAAACCGCCTGGGCACCCAGCCCCCGAGGTCCAGGCGCCTCCCCCGCCCCCCAGCCCTGAGCAGGCTGGGAACACCCACCCCCACTTGCTGCTGGCAGCTGGGCCATGAGATAACCCGGGTCCTGGAACTGGGGGTCCAGCGAGCGAAGGAGGGGTCCCTGCTGATCCATGCATAACGCGAGCGGGCACACCTTTCTGTAAAGGGCCGGGCAGTGACTTGAGGGTTTGCAGCCGGGCGGGCTCGGCAGCCGCTCAGCTCTTCCCCTGCAGGGAGAAGGCGGCCAGGCCCAAGGGGAAGGAATGGTCAGGCCGGGCCAGTGGGCCTTCGTGGACTCCGAAGGCTGAATTCCCTATCAGGCAGCCTGTTTCTTTTGCCAACTCCCACCGCGACGGCGTGCACAGCTGCTCTTATCTCGCAGGTATAAAAATAAGCAGCGCCCCCCCCACCCCCCGCACCCCGTGACCCGGGCGGCCCAGGCCGGTCCTGCTAATTTTGCAGCATGATCTCTCGGGTTCTTAACTTTGATCCAGCTGAGCCGGCTGGTGCGCGTCGTGATGTAATTGCTTCTCTCGGCTGGTTTTGGGGGGCAGGGCCAATCACCCATAGTCTGGGTTCCTGGCACCCAGTCCCTGTGGTCGCTGCAAGGCCCCTCTGTCTTGAGGGTTTTCTTTTCGGTTCCTTTGGCTCTGGACCATCCTGCCCGTCTGCCCCCCTCGGTGGGTGGGTGTGAGCTTTCATTTGTGTGGTCCTTTTCTCGCCGTCGCTTTTTAAAAATGTAGTTTTCGAGTACGTGTCTCAGGAGACATGTTATTGGTCCGAGTGGGGCACATCAGAGAGGTGTGTGTGGGACCCGCTCTCGTTTTTTCCGATCCACGGGCGCGTGCACGTGCCTGGGGCCCCACGGGCGGTGCCACCCCCGCCACAGGCGCTTCCTTGCCAGGGGCCGCCTCGGGCTTGTGCGCCCTGGAAGTGGGTGCCTTTTGCCCTTGCAAGCAATTTGATGGAGGATTAAAAAAAATCACAACTATCTTTCCTTTCAAAGTGTAGGTGTCCATGAACAAATCTTTAACATCTTCATTTTTAAAAGATTAGTGTTTAAAAAAATTAAGGCCTAATTGATCCCTTTAGTATTGGAGTCTGTGGGTATCTTGGATAAAGGTAAACGGTCGCAGAACCACCACACCGAGGGGATCCGAAGGCTACAGGAGTTTGAATTGTCCCTGAAACTCCCTCACCCCTTTGTCTCAAGCCCCTCCTCATTCCCCCGTCCCTGACAATCGCCCCTGTTTTCTGTTGGGAGTGACAGCAGGGGTTAGGCGTCCCCTGGATTTGGGGCTGTGGCTTCTTTCACTTACCGTGTGTCTTGCAGCCCACACCCTCTGCTGTTTCCTTTTTATATTAAGAACTTTTCTAAGGCGTGTTCCTGTGTATAGGTCTCTCCTTGGTATTTGGAACACAGCCTTGGGTCTGTGCCCCCCATGCTGTATGTCACGGACACAGCATCACCCGTGTGCCCCCTTTGGGTAGCCTCCAGGGGGTGGGGCCCCTGTCCTTGCCTATTCATGGAGACCCCCAGCTAAATCCTTCCTTGGGGTCCTTAAAGATGCCCTAACTCTTAAAAAGAATTTTTTCCCTTTTGTTCTGGATAACAAGAGAGATCCGCAAGTTGTGACATTACCCATTGTTCTGAAGTAGGTTCTCAGGAAGGTCTGGGTGCGTTTATTTTTGGAAGATGAATTGTAATTGCTACATAAGAGAACATGATCTATTTGTAAAATCTCATGAAAAGTTTCCCCTGCCTAAGTGATGCTGGTTTGTGGTTGTTACTAAGTGGAAATGAACTGCCCTTGACCCTGCTTCGTGGTGGGTTGGGTCGGGCTCTTCCCACTGCGCGTTGCTCTGATCCCGGGGAGTTTGCACAAGGTCGGGTAATCCCCTCCTCACCCTAAATGGAGTCTCTCAGGTCCACAGAGCCTGGCGGTGGGATTTGGGCAAAGGAAATGGGTCTGTCCCCTAAGAGCAAGAGGACCAGGCCCCTCTCCCCACTTCACTGTGCTGAAGGAGGGGGGTTCCTGTGCCTGAAGACTCGGGCAAAGGATGGGGGGCTCTGTCTCAGGTGTGTAGGGGGGTGGTTTCCTCGTTCATGAACTAGATTTCAGGAGGAGCTGGGGCTGCTGAGCTGCGCCTTCCTAACCCGCCTGCCGCTGCCCCAAGGCCTCCTGGCGCCTCTAACAGCCTGTTCTTGGTTTCGCAGCCAGAGCCCAAGCCTGGAGACCTGATTGAGATTTTCCGTCCCCTGTACAGACACTGGGCCATCTACGTCGGTGATGGATATGTGATCCACTTGGCCCCCCCAAGTAAGGCCCAGGGCCTCGCTGTGCTGGGGCTGGGAGGAGTGGGAGATGGGAGCTGTGGGTAAGGGGTCACCCCAACATTCTCCTTGCTCCCCGACTGGCGGTTAGTTCCTGAGTGCAATGAGAAGGCAGTTTGGCGTGGGGTAGGGGTTCTGTGGAGGGGCTGAGGTGGGCTTCCGCGGGAGCAGCTCTGCTCCTCTGTGTTTTGTATCCTATGGCTTGATTTAAAACATTTATATATACAGTCCCGGAAAGAGCACGGGTGTTCGGGTAGCAGACTTGGCTGTGAATCCAGTTCTGCTCTCCAGCCTTGGTTTCCTCATTTGTAAACTGAGGCTAAGACTTAATGTGGAGAACTGCTGTTCACCCCTTTTCTTAAACAAATGTACCCACGCTGACCTGGTCCCCACTCTGGCCTGGTTCCCACGCTGACCTGCTCACAGACCCCAGACACAAGCACTGTCTCCTTAGCTGATCCAGGGGGCCCCTGAGTGCCCCCGTCCTCCTGGTAGCAAGTCTGAATTCCTGTGATTTTCTAAAATCTCAAGGTTTGTGCTCAGGGCAAAGGGAGACGGGCCTCTCTGAAGAGCCTCGCAGAGCAGCGCCGCCTGCCCTTGCTTGTGGCTCTCACACAGTGTCCCAGTCAGGACCAGTCTTGCTCCTTGAGCAAGGTGCCTCCCCTGTGAGAGGCACTGTGGGGGTCCCATCCTGGCAGGGCCAGAGGGAGAGTGAGCCCCTTTCATGATGTGCCCTGGGCTCCCAGGCCCACCTTTTCAGTGCATGTCTCACCCACCCCCACCCACCCACACACACAGGCCGGCAGCTCGGAGGGCTGTGTGGTCTCTGTGTTGGCTTCGCTTTCCCGCCTCCTCCTGGTCTGAGCATTGGCCCCGGATTCCCTTTCTTCTAAGCATCTTCACTTCTGGCGTTTTGGTGCCCCATCCCAGCTCCCAGCCTTGGCCAGGGCTATGCTGGTCTGCCCACCCGGCCTCCCTGGTGTCACATCCCGGGATACAGCTCTGGGGTTTTGGTCCTCGTGCTCCCAGGGCAGGGAGCACTTGCGCAGAGCACACCCCCTTCCCACACTTGTCAGATCTGTTTATGTCCAGGCAGAGTAACCACCACACAAAGCCCCACAGCCATGTGCCGCACCCTTCCTGCTTGGCCCTTCCACATCTACTCATGCCCTTGTGGACGGTGCCAAGTGTGGCTCCGGCTGGGGGCCTGCTCTGAGTCCCCGCGGGCTGCCCGGGACCCACCCCTGTTTCTTGCTTGTGAACCCACAGGTGAAGTCGCCGGGGCGGGTGCAGCAAGCATCATGTCGGCCCTGACTGACAAGGCCATCGTGAAGAAGGAGCTGCTGTATGACGTGGCTGGGAGGGACAAGTACCAGGTCAACAACAAACACGATGACGAGTACCCGCCGCTGCCGCCCAGCAAGATCCTCCAGCGGGCGGAGGAGCTGGTGGGGCAGGAGGTGCTGTACAAGCTCACCAGCGAGAACTGCGAGCACTTTGTGAACGAGCTGCGCTATGGAGTGGCCCGCAGCGACCAGGTGCGTCCTCAGCCGTCTCCCCGTCCCCGGGGAGCACCCTGTCCTGATGCTGGCGGCCTCTGCCCAAGGGCACCCAAGCCCAAAACCTGCCACCGGCTTTTGAGAAAAGAGCCAGTTTAATGCAAGGTCATCTGGCAGGAGATTGGAGGCAGATCCAAACCAGTCTCCCTGAGGATGGGGCTCTCGGCAGTGTGGGGCAGTATGTATGGGGTTGAGCAGCAAAGGAAAATGCAGGTTGGTAAAGTTTGATTGGTGGCTTTCGGCTGAACCATGGTGTCACTCAAATTCAGGTTCAGAACTGCAACAAAAGCGAGTGTGTCTGGATCCTGATTGTCTGTCTAGCCAGGAGGGGCTGTCTTAGTTCCATCTTCCAGCACTATTTTTCAGACCAAACAATGAGAGGTCACTTTGAGGACAGAGAGCACTCTTCTGGGCCTATGCTCTGAAACACAGATTGTTTCTCCCCCCATAATTTAAGATGGGTAGGGACATTTTTGCCCACTGTTGCAAGCCTGCCCTGCTCTTGCAAAATAATCAGAAATAGGAGATGACCATCATGACCCCCATGGTTTCAACTCCCTCCGCTGGGCATCTGTGTGCACTGGGGTGGAGATAAAGGCATGAACAGGACGAGTAGCAAAGATGATAGAATCCCTGTCCCTGAAGACATGGGGTGGGGACAAGGGTAGGGATGAGGGTGGGGAGATTAGCAGGATGATAGAGCAGACCAGCACATCAAGGCCAAGGCTGAGGGTCACAGCCAGGATGTCACCCCGTTGCTGAGCCCTCCCTGGCCACCCGGCTGGACCCTCACCACAGCCCTGGAGGCAGGTTGTATCACTTCGCTTTACAGAAGGGGAAACGGAGGCTAGCTGTGCTTCAGTAATTTGCTGGTTACCCTTCATGTCATCAAATCAATGTGTGTTGACTCTCCAGAGCCAGTGCTAATATTTTCTGGCATGTCTGCAGCCATGCTGATAAGTTCCAGAGTTGGAATTTGATGCACTTATCATGTTGATAAAAGCATCACCTTCTGAAATCCAAGGGTCAGTCCCAGAGACCCCGGGGGATGCAGTTTAATTCATTTGCTTGGTTTGATTGGGGCCATGCCCGCTCTCTTTTTTGAATCTTTTCTCCCGGGTAACTAACTTCCTTCCTTCCCATCCTCTCTCACTTTCTCCTCTTCCTTTTTTGCACTGTTGACATCAGTTTTTCCTTGGGGAGGGGGCTTTAGGACATTGTTTGGAAAAGTACACAAATGACAGGCTTTTGATTTAAAGTTTAACTGGGTATAGAATTCTAGGTTGAAAATAACTTCAATGAGAAGATCCCGGCTGCTCCCCGGCCAAGAGGAGGGTCCCACATGGCGCGCAGACTCCCCTCAGCAGTGTATGAATTGACTGTCAGTGCTGCAAAACAAATAAATTGAGAGTGTCTAGTGCTGTGTTCACTAACTTCAGAATTTTGAAGGTATCGCTCCATTGTTGTCTAGCTTTTACTACTGTTATTGAGAAGTCTGAATTGTTCTGGTTATTATGCCTTTGTGAGTGAACTGTTTTTTCCTTCCAGAAGCTTATAGAATCTTCTCTTGATCTTCATGTTCTGAAATATCACTGGTAGACCTTGTGAGGATTTATTTTCATGTGTTGTGCTGGGCATTTGATGGCTCCTTTCAATATGAAACCCATTCCTTTAGTTCTGGGAAATTTCCACTTTCTCTTCTTTCATTCTGGAGCTCCTATTATTTTGATGATGGACCCTTAGACTACTCCTCTGATTTTTTAATCTTCTTTCTCCTACTTTCCAATTATTTATCTTTTTTTAAATTAGAAAGTTAGCATTTATTTCTAGTTTATTGAGAGTTTTTTTTTAAAGCGGCATTGACAATATTAATATAACGAAGAGAAACTCTAAATAAATCTGATTGCTCCATTGGTGACATTGCAAATCAATTAAGATCTTCACCCACACACAATTACTGCTCCAGGTAAATGTCCATACTCCTATGCAGCAATAAACTCCAAATAAAGATTACAAATCTGGGAAAGAGTAAGTTACTTTATGAAATTCACCCTGCTACATTAGGAAGATTTGGTAGATGTATGAAATATCTCTAAAGCATCTCATTTTTAGCTATTCTTTCAGGGATCATTGATAGACCAAAGAACAGATTCACAAGTTTATAATAAGTAAAGCTTTTTGTGTCAATACAAAATTGTGACATAATTTAGTAAAATACATATGTTACTAGGCACAAATAATATTTAGAGCAATTAAATACAGTCCCAAATCTTGAGCTAGTGATGTTAACCAAAATAAAAGTCTCAATGGTAGTTACACAAAGTTTATTATATTATATAAGTGAGGATTTAAACCTGGGAAACAGCCTTTATACTGTAAGAACTGCTCTGACAATCACAAGTTTGAGTTCAGTTTATTTACTGTGTTACAGAGTGAGTCACTGGTCATAAAAATGTAATTATTCTTGAGAATGACCTCTGATTTTCATTGATAGGTTTATTTTATTTTATTTTTTAAAGATTTATTTATTTATGCATACAAGAGTTGGGGTACAAGCCAGAGGTGTGGGGGGTGAGATGATTCACCAGAGACAGAGTGGGGAACAGAACAGGCAGATTGACTGAAATACACTGCTGAGGGGAGCAGCGGGCGAGACAGGAGAGGTCTGCTGTGCCTGTGGGTCAGCTCCCTGGCAGGGGTTGAGCTCAGTGCTGCAGTAGCTGCAGATAGCTTCATAGTGCCTTCATAGTATTGATGCTTAAACTTTTTGCACCACCAGGGAGGCCCCTTTATCGATAGGTTTAAATCTTCCAGTTTCCTAAGTTCTCTGGACCTAAAGAAATGCTGATGCTATGTCTGTGCAGAGGAGGGCAAAGGCTGGGGATTAATCGTTTTCTTGACTTCTGAAGAACATACAGTGGCGATGCAAAGGCTAGGAGCTCATTGTTAACATCTTTGGCTGGCTCCTGGGTCATTAGTGAAGGCTGAAAGGTTGGTTTACTCACAGGCATTAGATTCCTATGTGACTTCTTCACAGAATACAGCCCGTCCTGACGTAAGCCTGTGCAGATGGCCGGTTCTCCTGCATGCTGGAGCCGGAGGCGGGGTCCCGGATTGTTCACAGTGTGCTCACAGTGAACGGGCTAAGAAATTTGTTCTACTGTTTAGTCTTGTTATAAGCAGTAATTCAACTCCTCTTGCAAAATGCAACAATACAAATTGGATGTACCCCATTTTCTTCCTGGGCCTTTGGCCTGTCCCACCTTCCCATCTACATGAAAGAGCGGAAACAGACAACACAGCAATAGTTGCTATGTAAACAGGCCTGCTGCTCCCCCTCAGACAACAACCCAAGAGCTCCTCTTTCATTTCTGGGGCTGGGAGGCGGGGCTTTCAACCTCAGCGCTGACATTGAGGTCACTGGCAGCACGAAAGGGCTGTTCAGGGTGATTGAACTGACTCCATCTTGTGTCTGAGACGCCATCTTACTGAACTTTCAACTTAAAAAATATCTATTTACTGACTGGCAAGAACTGGTTACTAGTTAGACTCGACCTTCTCTGAGAATTGTGCAAAAATAATTTCCTTTTTCTTTTCTCCATAGTAACCAAGGCCATATTGACTGAAAACCAGTGCATTGTAAGAAATATAATCTATAACCAATCCAAGCTCTTTTTAATTCTATCTTCTTCCCCCCATCTTTTTTTTCATTTAACACCCCCCCAAAAGACCTCAGTGGGACACATTGTGCCCTAATACCTGAGTTTGTGCTGCCTGTTTTTTGTTTTTGTTTATTTATGCCTACAAGAACTGGGGTGCAGACCAGAGGTGTGGGGAGTGAGAGGATTCACCAGAGACAGAGTGGGGAGCAGAACAGGCCAATCCACTGAAATACACTGCTGACGGGAGCAGCAGACGAGGCAGGAGAGGTCTGCTGCACCCTGAGTGTCAGCTCCCTCCCTGGGGATCGAACTCATGCCGCAGCAGCTGTGGCTAGCTCAAGATAGCTCAATCCATAGCATAGCGCTGAGACTTTAATCCCTGCACCACCAGGGAGGCCCCTGTGCTGCCTGGTTTTTTTTTTTTTTTTTTTATAGAGGCATGTTTTATTTATTTATTTGTTTGTTTGTTTGTTTTGTTTATACAAGCACTGGGTACAGTCAGAAGTGTGGGAGGGTGAGAGAATTCACCAGAGCCAGAGCGGGGAGCAGAGCAGGCAGAAGGACCGAGGTACACTGCTGAGGGGAGCAGTGGGCGGCAGGAGAGGTCTGCGCGCCATGTGGGACCCTCCTCCGGTAGCCGGGGAGCAGCCGGGGATCGAACCGGTGCTGCAGAGGCTGCGGGCATGTGCTGCCTGGTTTTTAACTTAAGACCCCAAATGAACATCTTATCGTGTCTTTCTCAGCGGACAAAACTGTCCCGAGGTGAGAACTACTGGTAATGCATGTTGTGGCTAAAATAGATTCAATTCCCACACACGCTCCCTCTCACCAGAGACGGCCATGGGAAGATGGAGGGCAGTTTTTCCTTGTGAAGCGCTGCCAAGCAGTAACTTTCTTTTTAGTTAAGGCACGAGGGTGTTTTTGTCTGTCTTTAAGAATGTGGTCGCCATGGTGTGGCTCTGTGCTGGGCTCCTCGAAGCAGGCTGGATTTTCCTTTAACAGAAGAAAAGTGGCGACTCATTTAACTTCCTACTATGAAAAGGAAGCAATGGACTCAAATGAAAAAGTAGTTTGTGCTTTATATGCCTGAGAGTATTCTAAAAAAAAAGGATTTCCTACTTTCCACCTACCTAAAGATACTCAGCCTCCAAAAAAGTACACTTAGTGAGCTTTTGTAAATAAACCTTCATACTAAATAATTCTTTACAAAAGCAACTAGGAGCAAAGCTCATCCTGAAGTCTACGCTGTCAGACAAAATCTTAACAGAAATGGAAATGGGAGATGTGACCAGTGGCAACAAGTAGGTTACCTGAATCTGAACAAATTTTCATTATTTTTAAAATGACTGTGAATAAAGGTAAATTTCTACACCAATATTTCATAACCATCTTCTCTCGTAACAGCTCATAATCTAAATTCAATTCTCTTCATGATAACGCTGCTCTCTTCACTTCCTTTTTTGTCCACTTAGAACATAGCTGAAGGGACGACCTTAAGCACATCAGAGTTTTCCTTTTCCCAGAGACAATTCAGCCTCACTCAGTCGGGAGCCTTCTCTAGCATGGGCGGCTATTTGCAATCTGATAGAATTTCAGTTTGCTCCCTTTAAAAACAACAGAATTTTTATATTGCTAATGCTGACAGCTCTTCTCTTTCACAACATTCTGATTGGACTCCTGGGATGTATACCACGTAGCCCATTTTCCTGATCAGAACCCCTGTCACTTCCGGCCAGCGGCTGGGCGGCAGCCGTCAGCTGGCGGTAAGAACATCCAGACAAGGACATCCTCGGTGGTGTCAGCAGGTAGCCCTGACTCCTCCAGGGATCACTTACCCCGTAAAATGTGCACTGTCAGCACGAACAGGGGCCCCTCTCTTGTACTGAATGATGACCTTGGACCCTGTGTTAGGGCCTGGCCACAATCAATGAGGCTATTCTTGTCCTCACAAAGTCTCTTTTGTACGAACCAGCTGCATCAACATTTGTTGTTACACTGTGAGGTTCTGCAAAGAACTGGAGGCACGTGTTCCTCCTGCACTATCAGCAAACCAATTTTCCAGCCTGACATGGAGCTTAGCAAGGAAAACACTGGATGCAGGTGGTTCCCCAGCTCATTAACCCCAGAGCTGGGCCCTGGACCTTTAAGAGGGAGGTGTAAAGGCTGAATGGTAGCCCAGTAGCTCCACCCAGACCTTTGTCACCCTGTGTTCCAGGCTCAGAGCATCAGTTCTGGGCACCTGGTGATATCATGATGCTGGTGTGTCCCTGACGTTGCACACAGCTGTGTTGGATGCACCGATGGCCCAGACTAGAAGCCCCGGAATCGCTCTGCTGGTCCTATGGTTTAGGCGGCCACAGCACAGACAGTTGAGCCAGGCTGTGTGCTAACGGTGCCCAGGGCAGGGTTGGCCATGTCAGGTGGGGGTGTGGGTTTTGGGCACTAAGTCCACATTTTCATCCTTTGCTGGCATTTTTCATACACTGTCTGCACTGTGCTTAGTGTGCACACAATGATGATTAGGGGGTCTTTTCCTTTATTGCTCTCCATTCTGCTTAAATGGCTGCCTAGGCTCCAGGGTGAGATTTCCTGCTGCGTGGCCATGGCCTCTTTCGTGACTCTGGAAAGTCATGTGTAGTCTTGCCCAGGAGAGGCTTTGTGTCTTAGCCACAGCAGCTGTGCGCTCGTGGGGCGTTTGCCCGCCCTTTGCTGAGGGTTAAATGTTCTCTTATTCTCTAATAGAGTTTTTATATTTTATTTTTAAAAAAGATTTATTTATTAATGTATACAAGAACTCCGGTGTAAGCCAGAGGTGGGGGTGAGAGGATTCAACAGAGAGAGTGGGGAGCAGAACAGGCAGATCTACTGGAGAACGCTGCTGAGGGGAGCAGCGGGGAGACAGGAGAGGTCTGCTGCACCGTGTGGGTCACCTCCCTGCCGGGGATTGAACTCGTGCTGCAGTGGCTGGGGATAGCTTCATAGTGCTGAGACTTAACCCTTGTGCCACCAGGGAGCCCCACATGTTCAAGTTTTATCCTGAAACTTATTCTTACTTTTGCATCATTTCCCCCTGGTCTAAGCAATCCAAGTGAGCCCTCCTTGTAATTTCAATATAATATCACTACTACCTGTCGTTGAGTCACTTAAGAATAAGTAAATTGTCCCCCCATGCTTGGCAGAATGGGTGCTTGGGGTAAGGCCCTGAAAAACACCGGGGAGGTCTTTGCTTTCACGGGGGTCAGAGGGTGTTTAATATCAATAGTGATTCCTCCTCCATTTCACACCTGCGTCAAGGGCTCCCCGTTGGCCAAGCCAGCTCTCAAGCATCCTGGCTCCAGCTCTCTGCCCTTCCCACAGCAACTCTGGGGATTGATGTGCTTTAAATACCCACAGGGTGAATCAAGTTCCCATTCAAGCCCGTGTCCATTCCTGGCCCGCTGACCTGTCCACTCATTCTTCCCCCACACAGCCCTCTGCTCCCCTTGTCCCAGCCAATATTTGTTGACGACTGAGTTTGTCAAGGAGGCCAAGGGGCACGTGGGGCTCTCTGGGCTGAACGCTCCTGGTGTGCGGACAGCCGTGCTCGTTCCCGGGGAGTCTCATCACCCTCTTCTCTTCCAGGTCAGAGACGCGGTCAGGGCGGTCGGCATCGCGGGCGTGGGCTTGGCTGCCGTGGGCCTCATCGGAGTCATGCTCTCCAGAAACAAGCGACAGAAGCAATAAGTTGAAAGGAACGGCCTGTCCGCAATGACTGTCCACAGAGAGGGTCTTTTTTTTTTTCCTGGAGGGTTTGAGGTTTGCTTTGTGGGTTTCATTCTATTTTATAATAAGGCTTATTTTTACAGAATAAAATAAAGCCCCAGTAAGGGAGGATTTTATGGGGTGAAATGCAACAAGAACTGCGGTGTGTGGTCTGTTGAGGGCACAGCTGGGGTCCCTTTCCGGTGACACCAGCTTGTACCTTGGCCCTGCAGGCATTTTCTCTCACCTTGGCGGGCTGCCTGCTTTACGTTGCTGGAAACAGAGTCCACCTCCCAGTTATCGCAAGGAATGGGCAGTCCCTTGATTGTGGGCATCAAGGAAGACAGACCTGACTGATAAAAAGAGCCTCCAGGAGCAGATGCCAGGCCCTTGTCCAGCGCCTGCCCTAGGGTGGCTGCTGTGGCTCAGCAGCTGGAGTCTGTGATGTTGGCCACAAATAAAAACCAAAGCAAACGAACCAGCCTGGTTTAAACCTTACCCGCCTCCTCTGCTCGCCCTCTCTTTCTTCTGCCTCATCACTCCTGCCCCCAGAGCCCCCTCTTCTCATCACTTGGGTTTGCATGACCTCCCACGGCTCTGATGACCCTCCCCCTCCTGGAGCCTCTCCTCCTGCATCAGCTCAGCTCAGAGATCCTGGAGCTCAGGTCTCCGGGACTCCCAGTTCAAGTTCCTCCGAGAGAACCTGATTGGCTCAGCTCACCACATCGCTCAGCCTGCGAACTGGTCATGGTGGAGCCGGGATCATAGGGAACAAGGGTCCCTCAGACCTAAGGGTGGCTTGTGAGGGACGGCCCTGCTGCAGGACCCTGGTGGGGGTTGGGGTGGGGAGGCCGGGTGGGGGGGGGGTTGGGGAGGCTGCTGGGAGGGCAGGGCTGTCACTGCTGGTCTCTTGAGATCTAGGCTACTGCCGGCTGGGCCCGGCAGCTGTTCACAGGGATGTTTCTCGGAAAAGGCCTTTTGCGGGTTCCTCAAACATACTCTGCTGGCTCTTCTCCAGAGGGCAAGACTTTTCCTCTCTCTGGGTGGGAATGTTTCCTTCCTTATACCTAGTTGCCTGGGAACCATCTCTGTTGGGCTCCTGGACAGAACGCAGGTGGCTGCTGGCCAGCTCCCTCCTGCTTGGCTCAACTCTGGCGCAAGATAAACATATGCTCGGCCATGCCCGCTGTTGATGGACGCAGCTTTCTCCCAGGACAATTTCCTTTCTTTTTGCCTCAGCTCTGCTGATGTAACATCTCATGTCAGTTCTCCAAGAGGCACAGAGGTCAAGCTCAAAGGGCTGGTCTCTGCAAGCGCCCCTCCCTGCCCTGCATATACTAAGGTAAGGGAGCACATGGAAGTGTAAACCCCCAAGCCATGGAGAAAAAAGGAATGAGGAAAAATAAACACAGGAAAGCAATAAAGCCCAGTTCAACTAAAAAAATTAAAAAGGGAAAAATAATATACAAAGGTTAGGATATACAAAAATAACCAAAAAGATGGGAGTGCTAATCCCAAATAGATGGGTAATCACCATAAATATACATGAACAGAACTTTCTAAGTAAAAAACAACACATTATGCAGGATTCGAAACTAATCCACGGACTACAGTTGATAGAAGGCATCCTAAAATGTAAGGACACAAAGATTGAAATGAAAAGGATGGCCACTTCATATGAAATGGGTCTGCTTTATAAATATGTTAGTGTCATCAAGGAGCAACACTGAGGCTGTGTGAAAACCATCCTCCTTTCAAAGACACTAGAGATTAGCAACAACATGTGAGAAAACAACCTTGAAAGTAATTTGGAATAAATGGGGAAACTTGAAGATAGATTGAATATTAAAGAATATTAAGGAAATATTTTTGTGTGATAATGGCATTAGACTTACATAAGATCATGTTCTAATTAAAAAGAATAGATATAGATAAAGCAAGTATGCATAGTTTTTAATCTATGCAGTGGATATGTGAACTAGTATTCTAGTGCTTTCTGTATGTGAAAAAATTTATCTAGTAAATATCTTTAAAATATCTGAAGTTTGAATTTGAAAGTTTAAATAAAAGAAGATGTTTGAATCTATTTCAATAAATTATCATTTATAGGAATTAAAACATAAAAGAAATATGCTAGGCAAATATTAACTGAAAACTGGTATACTTACTAATTAAAAGTTGGCATAACTATATTGGCAACCAAAAATATAAGGCAAAATTATACTGGACAAAAAGATGATTAAAAATGTGTTTTAATATGAAATATATTTGTTTTTTGCACTTGGCTCCTACATAGAGCACCAAAAGCCCTAGGAATTTTCTGAGTGAGAGCAGTTTCTTTTATTACTTGCAATGAGCCTCTTTTGCATGCACCTGACTTTGTGCTAATGAGGTGACTTACGATGGGGTCCCCAGACAGTCTTTTTTAAAATTTTTTTTAAAGTTCTTTTTTTTAGATTTATTTATTTATACAAGCACTGGGTACAGTCAGAAGCGCGGGAGGGTGAGAGAATTCACCAGAGCCAGAGCGGGGAGCAGAGCAGGCAGAAGGACTGAAGTACACTGCTGAGGGGAGCAGCGGGCAGCAGGAGAGGTCTGCACGCCATGAGGGACCCTCCTCTGGTGGCCGGGGAGCAGCCGGAAATCGAACTAGTGCTGCAGAGGCTGTGGGCAGCTTCGCAACCCAGCGCTCAACCGCTGTGCCACCGGGGAGGCCCTCCCCAGACAGTCTTATGTGGTCACCAGGAAGACCGAGTGATTAAAGGGTTTGAAATTTCAGCTCTACCTACTTACCTTTGGGAATAGAAGGAGGGCAGGAGATTCTACTCTATAAAACCTCTTGAACAAGGAGACTTGATGAGCTTCTATAGGTGTATATGGCAACAAGGGACTTACTGGAAAAAAATGAACAAATTCTTGGAAAGATGCAATATCCTAAGATTGAAGCAGGAAGAAATGAAAAATTTGATGACACTAATTATGAGTAAGAATATTGCAACAGTAGTCAAAAGTTTCCCAAAAAACAAAAGTCCAGGTCCAAATGGCTTCACTAGTGATTTCCATCAAATGATCAAAGAAGAATTAATACCTTCTCAAACTCTTCCAAAAAGTGAAAAGGAAAGAAAAACTTCTAAACACATATTATAAAGCTAACACTATCTTGATTCCAAAATCAGACTAGGGCATCACACAAAAAAAGAAAATCATAGCCAATAGATCTGATGAACATAGATGTGAAAATCCTTAAAAAGTACTGACAACGCAAATCAACAATACATTAAAGAATCATACACCATGATCAAGTGGGATCCATTCCAGGGGTTCATGGATGGATGGATGGTTCTACAAATACAGATCAATTAACACGAGGGAAAAAAAGGAAGGAAAAAAGTTATATGATCATCTTTCAGTAATGCAGAAAAAACATTTGACTTAACATCCATTTATGATAAAAACTCTCAACAAACGGGTATAGAAGGAACACATCTTAGCATTATGAAGTCTGTACAAGACAGAACCACAGGCAACACCACACTCAATGGGGAAAAACTAAAGGATTTTCCTCTAAGATCAGGAACAAGACAAGGATGTCTGTGTTCATTATAATCAATCAACATAGTACTGGAGTCATAGCCAGAACAATTAGGTAAGAAAAGGAAATAAAATATATCATGACTGGAAAAGAAGATGTTAAACTATCACTATTTACAGATGACATGATAATATATACATAGACTAGCCCAAAGATTTCAGTGAAGAAATATTAGAAATAATAAATGAATACAGTAAAATGGAAGGCTACAAAATCATTACACAAAAATCAGTTGCATTTCTATACAAAAATAACTAGCAGAAAGAGAATTTAGGAAAACAATCCCATTTACATCTCATCAAAAAATATGAATACCTGGGAATAAATTTAATCACAGATAAAAAAATTTAATCACAGATAAAAAACCTTTTACCAAAACCTATAAGATATTATTGAAAGAAATAGAAAAAGCTGTAAAGATCTATAAAAAATTCCCCGCTCATCAATTAGAAAATGATCATACAACCTAAAGCAATATCCCAATTCAATATAATACCTATCAAAATCTGAAAAGCATTCTTTACAAAAATAGAAGACAAAAAAATCATAAAATTTATTTGGAAGTACAAAAGCCAAAGCAATCCTAGCAAAAAGAACAAAGTGGAAGGTATCACACTTCCTGACTTGAAACTATACTACAAAGCTATAGTAATCAAATCAGCATAATATTAGTAGTAAGAACACACAGACTGATGGAATTGAATTGAGAAGCCAGATATAAACCCACAGTTATATGGACAACTGATTTATGACAAAGGAGCTAAATGCATACAATAGGGAAATGATAGTCTCTTCAAAAAATGATGCTGGAAAAACTGGACAGCCACATGCAGAAGAATGAAACTAGACCATTATCTCACACTATCCACCAAAGTTAATTCAAATTGATTAAAGACCTGAATGTGAGACTTGAAATCATAAAGTCATAGAATAAAAGGAAGGGGACACATTCTTGGACGTGGGCCTTAGAGTTGTCTTTGGGGCCTCACTCTGCAATTACGACGGAAAGAAATTCAAAGGTACACAAACAGCTATATGTCAAAGGGAAGAACTTCTGTGCAGCAAAAGAAACTATCATCAAAATGAAAAGATGTCTTACCAAAGGGGAGAAGATATATGTAAGTGAATACATTTAATTAAAAAATTGAAAACAGCTAAGAAAAAAAGAAAGAAACAAACAAGAAAATATTGATCACTTCAAATAAAAAGATTTGCTTCTCCAACCACATCTTAAGACTAAAGTTCTAGTTGTAAAGGTGACATGGTACATACAGAGTCTGATGGATCAGTTAACATGTTACAATATTAAAAACAGTGTTACTTCGATCAAGACAAAACAAAACAAAACAAAACAAAACAAAACAAAACAAAACAAAACAAAACAAAACAAATCAAACCCGGAACAAAGAAACACCATAAAGGAAATGAAAAGTGGGACCACACAGGTAGAAGATATTTTTTAAAGATTTTTAAAAATTTATTTATGCCACAAGAAGTGGGGTGGTGCAAGCTAGAGGTGCAGGGGGTGGTGGTGAGAGGATTCAACGAGAGAGTGGGGAGGAGAACAGGCAGATCTACTGAAACACACTGCTGAGGGGAGCAGCGGGCGAGACAGGAGAGGTCTGCTGCTCCGCCATGTGGGTCAGTCACCTCCCTGGATGGCCGGGGATTGAACTCATGCTGCAGTGGCTGGGAATAGCTTCATAGTGCTGAGACTTAACCCCTTGTGCCACCAGGGAGGCCCCTGGTGGAAGATTTTGGTAACACAAAAATATATCAAGAACTCGTACATAGTCATTAGATAAAGACAAATAGCTCCACAGAAAAGTGGGCATATTCATGGCCCCTACACAGAGGAGTAAATACAAACATCCAGTGAGCACGTGACAAGGTGTGGCACTCTGTAAGAAATCATGGCAAGTGAATGAAAGGACGCAGGGAGCAGCTCCCAGGCTGCCAGGATTGACATGGATGCCCAGCAGCTGCAGCTCTATCACGTGGTCAGTGGGCAGCTGAGTTTGGCATTCTTTCTCCAGTAGGATGAAGGTCACAACCAATGACCCAGAACTCTGGTTCTGTGACCCATTAGTGAGTGAAATCTTTCGTGTAGTCACAGTTGATATTTCCAGAGAATTAAATGAAACAGAATGACAGAATACATAAGAGGATGTATGTCTCTAGTTTTGGGGTAAATTTTTGGCAAGACTTTTATTGATGTTCCTCAAGTCTGTTTGTATTCTGGTGCATTGCAGTGTATTTCTTACTCTGAATCTTGGCCAAAAAGCCTGGAAAGTCTTTGCCCAGCAAAAAGACTCAGGTGCCCTGGGGGCTGGCATGAGGACAAGATGGCAGTTTGGCCAGTAATGGGACAGCCTCGTGTCCTTCGATGGGAAAGAGGAGTATTAAACTGTGCTGCCCTCTAGAATGGGATGTGAGCAAACGAATGAATAGTAGGGCCTCCCTGGTGGCACAATGGGTTAAAGTCTCAGTGGTATCAAGCTATCCCCAGCCACTGCGGCCTGAGTTCAATCCCTGGCCAGGGATCTACCCACATGGTTAGCAGAACTCTCCTGTCTCCCCTCTGCTCCCCTCAGCCGTGTATCTCAGTAGATCCACCTATTGTGCTCCCCACTCTGTCTCTCTTGAATCCTGTCATCCCTTGCACCTCTGGCCTGCACCCAAGTTCTTGTATGCATAAATAAAAATAAATCTTAAAAAAAAAATAAAGTAAGGGCCTACCTGGTGGTGCAGACAGTTGAGCACAGCACTGTGAAGCTGTCTGCAGCCTCTGCAGTGCTGGTTCGATATCCGCCCACCACGGAGCAACCCACACGGTGTGACAGACCTCTCCTGTCTCGCCTGCTGCTCCCCTCAGCAGTGTATTTCATCAGCCTGCCTGTTCTGTTTCCTGCTCTGTCTCTGGTGAATCCTCTCACCCTCCCTCACATCTGGCCTGTTTCCTGGTTCTTGTATAAATAAATAAAAATTTTAAAAAATTAAAAAAAATTTAAAAAATAAAGTAAAATAATTTACACAAACACACTGACACACATACATATACATATAGTTCTAGGTATATCTGTATGTGTAATTTATCTGTCTGTGTTTACATATGCACACGTATGCCCATCTCCCAAACAGTCACGATCCCTCTCCTTTTCCTTCTGTCTATGCAGCTGGCTGGAGCCCAGCCTGCCCGCCCCCCAGTCTGGCCAGCTGGGAGCCCTTTCTGGTCCTGCACGGGCAGTTCTGGGAGGAGCAGCAGCCCCTGCCCAGCAGCCCTGGTTGAGGCCTCCCCTTCATGGGGCTCGCGGACCTGCTTTTCTGCATCCTGAACAGATCCGATGAGGCGAAAGCTCCAAGACCAGCACCGGGACGGGGCGGTCCTGTGCCGGCCCACGCGGTCTCCTCAGCACCCACCAAGGCCGGCTGCTCGGGGACGGGCCAGTGACGTCTCCGCAGCGATGGCAGCGACTGGCCGGGCTGGGGGGCCTGACCCAAAAGTGCCCGCACGCCCGGGGGCGTGGGGGGGCTCGTGCAAGGGCTGTGGCCAGCAGCGCTGGGAATTAGCAGCCCCCCCCCCTCGCTCTCCCTCGGGAGGCGGTGAGGATGCTCCCAGGTGACGTGCCGGCCGCGGTCAGGCGTGCAGGTGCGCAGAGAGGCCCGCGCTGCCCCAGTTCGTGGGCTCGGAGCTGGGCGGGGCTCCGGCCTCTGGCCGATTCCTGCTCGGCTGATTTCCAGGCCGCCTCATCTGCAGGTGCTCACCTGGCCTGGCTCTGCAATTTATGATTCACCTTTTCCGTGAGCGCGGCCTGGGTGGGGCCGGAGGGAAAACGAAACTCTCCGAGCTCACCCGAGCCTGGGCCTCCGGCCGCGGCACAGCGCTCGGGCAGCCACGGAGGCAGGCTGGCGGCGGTGATGGAGTCGGTGAGTCCCCGGGAGCTCCTGTTCAAAAATCGCCCCCCAGGCAGAGGTGACGACCTGGGTGCTGCTGCGTGGGCGGCAGGGCCAGAGCTGCGCCGCCGTGGCTGGGCCTGAGGGTCCCGCTCTATGGGGTGGGGGGGGAGGAGACTCCTCTGGGCCGGCCTTGGGGGGCAGGAATGGTGGGCTTGGGAGACCCCCTTCCCGATTGTCCGGGGCCACTGCCTGCTGGGTGGGTGGGTGGGACCAGCTGGGGATGGGGATGGGGTGTGTGTCTCAGAAATATGATTGACAGCTGCGCGGGGCTGTGGCAGGGGCTGGCAGGCGGTGGCGCGCCGTGGGGAAGGCCTCCGGCCCCCCTTCATCTCCCGCACAGCCTCAGCCCCTCTGCTTTTCCTCCGATCGCATTATCCCCCTTCCACGTGCCCTTTTCCTTCCTGCTCAGTAACTGCCACATTTTCAAGCTGCCCGGTGCATCCAGACACCGGGGAGAGGCCTTTCTGGCATCTTTGCCGGCGCCGTGAGGCTGGTAATAATCATTCCCAGCCCGGCAGCCGAGGACTGGAGGCGCCTTACCACCGGGGCAGAGAGAGGGAAAGTCTTCGCTTAAAAAAACAAAAACAAAAAAGCCAAACCAAAAATTTTTTTGATTTCACAAAAATATGTGAATGTGTTTTCCTTGTTCAACAATGAACCAGAACTCAAGGGGAGCTAGTAGTGCTACAGGGCAGGGAAGGGGCACCCCAGACCCCGCAAACCTGCCTGCTCTAAATATTTGGCGCATTTCGATCTATGCGTAGTTCCGATTCTTTTTGATGCTCAAATTGTCCCCTTGTGGGTCAGGCTGACCTCTGCCTCCCATGGCCGAAGGCTTTCCTTTCCACCACGTCGCGCCACCAGACGCCCACACAAGTCAGCCTCCTGGCCCAGCTGAGTCAGAGGAGGAGGGTGCAGGGCGGCCTCAGGGTGCTCCTGAAAAGGGGTGGCCGGGGATTGCTTGAATTCTGAGTGTGTTCCAGGCAACATACTTCCTGCTCATTCAAACTGCAAACCTGGGTTTTGGTCTCGCGGCTCTGCCCAGGTGAGCACCTTTGGCAGGTTACCTGACGTCCCCGAGACTCAGCCTCCTCGTCTTTCAAGTGGGGCAGTGATTGTCGCATTGACACCACACTGACACTCGGGAGTCGGGGAGCAAGCTGTAGGAGGCAGGGTGCTGCAGAAAGAGCAAGATCCTGGCCTTTTTATTCTTAGAGTAAACACCCAGCATCAGCTGTGAGGGGAAGGAGGACAGAGAGAAGGGAGCGTGAGGCTAGAAGATGTGCTCCGTCATCTGCCGTCTCGGGGTTGCGCGTCTGCCCCCGGCACGTCCCATCTGCTTCATGACTCAGTCCTGCACTTGAGCTCGAACCCTAGACCCCGGCCACGGTTCCATCCTATCCACAAGACTTACCACTGACCAGCTTCTAGGGTCCCTTGTCACACATCCGTCCCCGCCCCCCCCCCCCCGTGTTCCCTGTCATGTCTCGTGATGTATAATAGGGAGTGTGTTTATGCATCGACCATCAGCCCCCCAGGAGTTCCTGGTCATACCTCGGGAGGCACAGCCTTCCCAGAGTGATCAACCTTTCAGCTCTTGGTTGATTTGAAAGGCACCGTGTAAGCTTTGTTTCCTGTGACCGGCCGGGCGGTTCTGACCTTGTGCAGGAACACGGAACTGCGGTGACAAAGAGTGGTGGCCGGACAGGCCGCTTAGGGGCAGCAGACCCCCAGGTGATAGTTGCTGCTCAGAGGAGTGAGGAAAACGGGGGTCAGGGTGGAGCACCGTGTCTGCCATGTTGGGCTTTGCAGGTGGCAGCTCTGAAACCCCCAAGAATCACACAGATGCGGGAGGAGGGGCAGGGCCGTCTGGGAAGGGTGTAGACCTGGGACCACAGAGTCACTGACTGTCACAAACATGCTCTGTGTGTAAAATGCGCTCACACACCAGCCCCCCCACTCCCTTGCTCACACTCCGCCACACGGCTCAGCCGACCCAGAAAAGGGAGGGGCTCCCCACTTGTAGGGGAAGAGCCCCCTGCTCCCTATTTCTGGCCGGTGATGAGCACAGCCTGCAACTGGGCTGGGTGTCCCTGCCAGGGCTCACTCATCTCTGACTTTTCTGTTGCAGGACCAAGGAGGCCCAAGACCTGGGGACCTGATTGAGATTTTCCGCCCTGGCTTCCAGCACTGGGCGGTCTTTGTGGGGAACGGCTATGTCGTCCATCTGAGTGTTCTAAGTAAGGACGGGGCCTCTGCCTAAGCACAGGCGTGGATTCGGAACAGGATAGCAGCACAGTTACACCAGGTTCTCCCTTCAGCGTAGGGAGCATTTGCTGAGTCGTGCTGCCCCCTGGCGTGCTCGTTATCAGTAAGTTGGTGGAGACACTGTTGACCTCTGTCCCATTAGGGAGTGGGGCTCAGTCCCAGCCAATCCACCATGGTCAGACCCTTCCTGGGCCTGCACTCCCTGGTCAGTGTTGTTCTGGAGAATAAGAAACAGTCATTCTCTTCAACTAGTGTCCAGCTGGCTGCCGTGTCACTGAAGCAAGGCCCTCCCAGCCAGACAGCCCCGTGTGCAATCCTGCGTCCTGTGCCCGCCCACAGTGTGGGTCGAACTTGTGACTTCACCTTGCTGAGTGCAGCTGCATCCTCTGCAGCCAGGGGTGTGTCCCTCGCTTCCTGGCAGTGGAGGGGTGACGTGGAGGGGTGACATGGAGGGGTGACATGGAGAAGTGCATGGAAGGCGGGGTGGAGCCTGGCCAGGCGCTGAGCCAACCCCCTTCCCTCTGGAAACTCACAGCATTAAAGAAATGCATCACGCCCCACACCACCCCACAGTGGGGACTGTCTACATGGAATCGGCAGCTGCATCTCACGGCAGTTGTGCAGTTGGTGTGTGTACGTGCACATACACGTATATGTGTGTACATGGATGTATATATTCAAATGCAATTCATAAAATTAGGTTTATTGAAAAGCAATTAACAAATAGTAAAATGTAACCTTTTTACAGCACAATTCTGAGTTTTGACAAATGCGTAGGATGATGGAACCATCAGTGCAATATGATAAAGGAGGGTTTTCTCACCTCCCCTATGATGATCCCCCAGGATCCTTAAAACTTGGACCCCTGCACCCCCTTATTCCTAGGTCCCAGAAACCTATGTTCTTTTTTCTGTTCCTATAGTATTGCCTTTCCCGGATGTCATGCTAATGGAATTATATAGAATGTTGCCTTTTCATCTCTTGGTAGTTTCTTCCACTTAGCACAGCGCAGTGGAGGGGCCTCTGCACTGTAGCCTGTGACCTGCTTGTTCCTGTCCATTGCTGAGTAGTATTCCCTGGCGTGGCTGTAGCACCCTTTGCTCATCCATCCACTAGCTGAAGGACCTTTGGGTGCTTTTTGATTTTTGACAAAAATTAAGGCCACTTTAATATCCCCGCGCAGGCCTGTTCTGTATGAGTGGACAGATTTTCATTTCTTCTGTGTAGACACCCAGCGCTGGGCTGGTGGGATCCTGTGATGAGTGAATGTTTAAGTTGCCAAACTCTGGAGCAAGTGCCCATCAGTGAGAGAGGAGAGGAGAGAGCGCGCCCCCCCCCCCCAGAGGGAAGCCTCCCAGACAGCAGGAGGCTGAAGGGCTGGGATGGGAGACAGAGGGGGAAAGTTGGGGGAGTTTTGGGGAGGTGAGGGGTGATAAAGGGGGGAGGTGGGGTCACTAGGGAAAGAGGCGAGAAGACTAAGGGGCAAAGAGTGAAAATGAGAAGCCCAGAAGGAGACGCTGGGGTTGGGGGTACCGAGCGGCAGAGTGGGGTAACAATGTGTTTTTCTCATGAAAAAGAATAAATTCTCGGATCTACTTTATGTCCACACTAATCCCCTCCCTGCAGCCTCCCTCTCTGGGTCTGTCGCTCAGGGAAGCTTCTGGCTCCTTCTCAGCGAGGCCTCTCTGCCGCACCCCTGCGCCTGCAGCGGGTGAAGCGCTGCAGAGAAAATCAGGATGAGCGAGGCCTGAGCACGCGCACGCAGGAAACACGGGCCCGGGCGCCCCGAGGGGGAGTCGTGCCGTCCGGGGCTCCTCTCTGCTCCGCGGGCTGCTCCCGGGTCCGGGGCGCGCACCCGAGCGCGGGAGACACAGGGGGCGCGGGAGACACAGGGGCGCGGGAGACACAGGGGGCGCCGGGTGCCCTCCAGGGGCGAACCCGGGAACTGGCTGCGGGACGACGTCGCGCGCACCCCTTCCGTTTGCAGGAGACCGGGGCGCGGAGACCCGAGGGCAGGGAGGGCGGAGCCCCCCCCCCCAGACCCGGCGCCGGGACGGGGCCCCGGATTCCCGAGCCGGTTCTTCCCGGTCTGTCCCGAGCTCCGGCCTGGCCTGGGGCACGGCTCTGGCTCGGGCGCCCCGCGGGGATGGTCCAGGGGTTGGCCCGGGAGGGGTCCCGGGCCCGGGCGGCTGCTCCGGCCCCCACCTGCCTCCGCCTGACTCTCCGGGGACCCCAGTCACCTGGTCCGCGGCGCCCTCGGGGCTGGGTCCGGCTCTGAGCCCCGCGGGCTGCGCAGGGTCCACGCACTGCTTCCTCCGACCCGCAGGTGGATGTTCTGGAAGTGACTCTGCCGGCGTCGTGTCCCCGCTGAGCGACAAGGCCGTGGTGAGGAAGGAGCTGCTGCGCCGCGTGGCCGGGAGGAGCAGGTACCGGGTGAACAACAAGCACGACGGCGAGCACCGGCCGCTGCCGCCCAGCAAGATCGTGCGGGCCGCGGAGGAGCTGGTGGGGCGCGAGATGCCCTATTCGCTGACCAGCAAGAACTGCGAGCACTTCGTGAACGAGCTGCGCTACGGAATCAAACGCAGTGACCAGGTGCGGCCCAGGAGTCCCCAGGAGCCGCGCTGTCCCTCGGCCACGCTCGGGCGTGTGCGCGGCCGGCCTGGAGACGGGGCGGGAGCAGGAGACGAAATAACCCACAAGACAGGATCCCGGCCCTTGGGGTGTACGTCTGGGCGGGACAGGTGCGGGCCCAGGGAGGGGCCACTCATTAGACCATGGTAAGGGGGCAGTGGCCGAGGGGGAGTCACAGCCAGCAGGTCACCCCATCACAAGCCCCACCCCCCCCATAGCCCTAGCTAGAGGCAGGTTGTATTATCCCACTTTCCAGATGGAGAAACGGAGGCGCACATCGCTTGAGTAGCTTGTCCACACTCAGTCAACGAGCTCTTGAGTCTTTACTATCTGCCAGTCACCGGGCAAGGTGGGGTTTGAAGCCAGGAGCACTCTGCTCAGAAGGCCCTGATCAAGGAGGGCTTCCCTGATCAAGGAGGGCTTCTTGGATCAAGGCTGCCTCACGGAGAGGCAGCCCCTGCGCTGGGTCTGATTTAATTCTTAGGTTAATACAAAACTGGAAGAGAGTTGGTAATGGCCAGGGAATGGGGGTGACCAGGAGTACAGGCAGAGGGAACAGGTGAGCCAGGAGCAGGCCGAGCTCAGCTCATGTCAGGCAAACCTTTCCTGCAGTGGGCCTGATCATAAATATTTTGATGTAAGTATTGATGATAAATATTTTGTGACAGAGGCTCGGGCTCTGCTACTCTGACTCTGTAGCTGGTAGCACACAAGCGGCCATGGACATGACATGAATGGATGGGCCAGGCTGTGTTCCATGAAGCTTTGTTTTACAAAAACAAACAACAGCTGTATTTGATGCACAGCTTGCTGACTCTGGCATGAAACAATTTGGAAAACCACGCACTCCTGCATATATTACAGTTCAGGTGACAGCAAACATTTAAACCAACATAATGCAAACCGCACAGGATGGAATTTGGGGTGCATTATACACAGCACACATGCTTTATGTACGTATTTTTTTCACCCCCTTGGTCAGACCCCTGATGTGGAGTGTGACCCGCCCCCCTTTTCTTCCGCTCTAGGTCACCGAGGCGTTCACCACAGTTGGAGTGACGGCAGGGGTCATGGGAGCCGTGGTGGTCACTGCAGGCATCATCGGGATGCTGTTGTCCAGAAACAAGCGGGAAAAGCAATAAGGCCAAGAAATTGTCCCCCAGCAGCCGTTGAACATGAAGACGTCCTGCTTAACCTGGGATTTAGCGTTTGATTTATTGACTTAACTGTGTCTTGTGATCTTTTGGGTTTTATTTAATGGAATTAAATAAAAGGACAGGACGATTTTATTTGGGGGAAATGCAGCCCAGTGTGGGTTCTATTAGAGACCCAGTTGTGTGGCCTGAATGTGTGTGTCCCACTACAATTCATGTTGAAGCCCTAACTTCCAATATGATGGTATTTCGAGGTGGGTCTCTGGGGGTAACTGGGTTGAGATGAGGTCATGAGGGTGAGACCCTGTGATGGGATTAGTGTCTTTATGGGAAGGAGGGAGACCAGAGCTCTTCTCTCTCGGTTCTCACCTGGAGTAGAGAGAGAGATAAATAAATTTAATTGTAGCGCCTACCAAAACACCAACAACATGCTTCAGAGGAATTGAAGGAAAAAACATTGAAATTTATATGGAACCATAAAGGGTGTCAACTAACAAAGGCAATCCTGAGAAAAAAGGAAACAGGCATTGTATTACCTGACTTTATATTATAAAGCAACAGTAATTAAAACTATGATATTGGATAAAAATAGATACATGGATCAATGGAACAATGTTGAAATCTCAGAACTAAATTTATGTACATCTCAATACTTAATTCATGCTGAAGCAGCCATGTCCACACAAGTCTCAGGGTACCAGGAAAACGGATGGCATATGGAAAATAATAAAATGGGATCATTCTCTAACAAAAACAAATTCCAAATGGATGAAAGGATAGATATACGACCTGCAGCAAAATACATAGAAAAAAATATTGGTGAAATGTTCTGTGACATCAGGGATAAAGAGGTTTCTGGGGACTCAGACCCCTGTGTCAAGGGAAATAAAAGCAAAAATAATCAGTTGGATTTACCTTTAATTAAAAAGCTTTTACACAGCAAAAAAAAAAAGTAAATAGACTAAAAATACATTCTACTGAATGGGAGAAAATACTTACATATTACACAGCCAAGTAGGGGTTATTAGCCAAGAGATATAAAAACCTTATTCAATGAATTAAAAAAAAACCACACAAACAATGAATAAATGGTCAATAGACCTGAAGAGACAATTCATCAGAGAGGAAATCCAGAAGGCCAGCACACACAGGAAAATGTGTGTCATTGCTTTTAATAGGAAGATGCAGGTTAAACGCAGGAAGAAATCTCGCCCTTGGGTAACAGCACATAGTAAAAAGAAACAACAATAAATGCTGCCGAGGGCGTGGAGAAAGAGCATTATTGGGAGTGTGTACATGGGTGACATTTTGGAAAGCAATGTGCATTCACCTTGAAAAACTAAAAACAGAAATGCCACATGGCCCACCGTCCTGCTCCTGGGCATGTATCCAGAGAACATGGAGCCATCAACTGAAAGACGCTGGTTGCGCAGTATTGATTGTGGCACTGTGTACCCCACCAGGGCATGGAGGTGAGTGACCGTCCATCAACAGATGATTGGACAGGGGCCTCCCTGGTGGTCTAGGGGTTAGTCTCAGCACTTATCAACCTGATGGCCTGAGTTTGATCCCCAGCCAGGGAGCTGACCCACATGGCGCAGCAGACCTTTCCTGTCTCCCCGCTGCTCCCTCAGCAGTGTATTTCAGTAGATCCACCTGTTCTTTTCCCCTCTCTGTCTCTGGTGAATCCTCCGACCCCTCACCTCTGGCCTACGCCCCAGTCCGTCTTCATTTAAAAAATTTTAAAAAGGAATCCAAGAGAACCTAGCAACTTAGTACAAACCCTTCCCCAGGAAGTGTTTTCTGGTCTAGTGTATGAGGAGTGCAAAGAATATACCCAGACCCACATGGAGAAAACAGACCCAGCAGTCCACAGCGGACGGAATTAATAGGCGTGGACACACAACAGTTCCCATAAAGACAGTCTGGGTGTTTAAGAAGGATGAGGAAGCATGTTCCTGAGAGACACAGAGGGTGAAAAGGCCCTGGACACAGCTCCGGCCAGGCAGGGCATCTTTTTGGAACATGACGGGGTGATATTGAGGGATAGAAGGTCACCCAGGTGGTAGGAGGATCCAGCTCCGTCTCAGGCCTCGTCTGTGTTCTAGACCCTGGGGGCCACAGGATGCTCTCTGAGGCAGGTTACCAGCCCCACTGAAGTTTTGCCGAGACGGAGAATTTCCTGAGGCAGTGGCAATGGTTAGAGGAGCCAATTCTGACGAAAGTATGGTTTCATTACTGAGGGCCTTTTCCCCTTCAGCAGAATCCTGGCCCTGACTCTGTCCCATGGGCAGAGCCTGGAATAGTCTGGTAAAGTATTCAACTTAGAAATTACACACTTTGGTGACTTGGCAGGTCTTTCTGGGGCCTCCCCAGTGGCACAAGGGGTTGAGTGTCAACACTGTGGAGCTATTCCCAACTACTGAGGCAAGAGTTTGATCCCTGGGCAGAGAGGTACCCACATGGCGCAGCAGACCTCTCCTGCCTCCCTGCTGCTCCCTTCAGCAGTGTATTTCAGTCAATCCACCTGTTCTGCCCCCTACTCTGTCTCTGGTGAATCCTCTCACAGGCTATACCTCTGGTCTGTACCCCAGTTTTTATATGCATAAATAAATAAATCCTTAAAAAAAAAAGGTCTTTCTGGAGACAGCCCTGACTTTTTTTTCATTCCAAAGATTCCCCCCATAATCACAAATTTGCTTTGTTTTCTTATGTAATATTAGGTGAATTTATTAGTCATGTGATAACCATGTGACCACCTCTACCAGGTGTTGTAAGGGGCGCTAGGTCCCCAGGGTAAAAGCCAGGACAGCCCCAGCTCTTGGTGGCCCTGCAGATCCAGCAGGGGGGACATCAGTAAAATCCGTGCATGCGCCAGTGCTCTGGGGCAACAGCGAGAATGTCCCTGATGGGCACCCTAGACCCGAGTCTCCCTGCAGGGGACCTCAGTGTGCAGGCCACACAAACCCCAAAAGGCCTGACACTCCACCGTCCAGACCAGAACAGATGTCCCTGGATGGGAATGAGGCGTGGGCTGGCAAGCAGCAGATGGCAGGAGTGAGAGCATGTCTTCTCTCTGTCTCTTCTCTCCACCTGCTCTCAACCTTTCGGTCATGGGGCCTGGAATCTGGCTAGAGCAGCTGGGCACCCGGAGTCCCGGGCAGCCCTGAGCAGGCCAGGCATGGCCCCTTCTAGAATCTGAAATGGAGTTTGTTGTCTCAGCCGGGGAAGCTGGGCAGGCCCTGGTGGTGGCAGTGATGATGAGTTTTTATTCTTTGTTCTCCAACTTTCTCATAGCCCCGGCCCCTCGGGGGCCATGGGAAGAGTTTCTGTGTGGCTTCTCCTCATAGGGGGACAGGGCCCCAGCTGTCACATGCCTGGAAGGTCCACCTGGGGAGGCTGACCTCCCTGATCTTCAAACCAATGCGGCAGAGGATGTGGGGCACCTGGAGGAGGCCAGAGGGAAGTCGCCCATGGGGTCGTGGGGGAAGGTGACAGGTGAAGAGGGGAAGGGGGACCCGGCTCTGGAAGACACCCCCAGAAGAAGGTGTTGAACTCTGCAACCTTCGCAGCCTTCCCTTTGGGGATCCTGGGATTTGTAGCTCCGGGTGTCTTGATGGAGTGGGGGTGGATGCCACAAAGCCTGTGTGGAGTTTGCTCAGGACACACTTTGCCCCTAATAGTTTGTGTTTCACAGCAACATTGAGGGGAAGGTCCAGAGGTTTCCATAGCACACCCGCCCCCAGGACTGTTTCCCCAAGGTCACCACCTCTCATGGTGGGCACCGTCATCACGCGGGGAGCCCTTCATCCACTCATCATCACCCCAGTGCATGGCTGATGTCAGGGCTCCTCCCGGTGTGGACTCTCTATGGGTTTGAACAAAGACACATGACAGTGGCTCAGCAGAGCACTAGGCCTTGAGTTAAAGTGAGAACAGGGTCTCCCTGGAGGTGCAGTGGGTTGATTGCCGCAGTGGGTGTGAAGCTGTCCGCAGCCTCTGCAGTGCAGGTTCAATTCCCGGCCAGCCAGGGAGATTCCCACATGGTGCGGCAGACCTCTCCTGTCTTGCCCGCGGCTCCCCTCAGCAGTGTCTTCAGTCCTTCTGCCTGTTCTGTTCCCCACTCTGTCTCTGGTGAATTCTCTCACCCTCCAGTGCCTCTAACCTGTACCCCAGTTCTTGTATAAATAAATAAATCTTTAAAATAAGGGGCCTCCCCTGGTGGCGCAGGGGGTTGAGCGCTGGACTGTGAAGCTGCCCACAGATTCTGCAGTGCCGGTTCGATCCCCAGCCGCCAGGTGAGGGTCCCACATGGCGCGCAACCTCTCTTGCTGCGCCCGCTGCTCCCCTCAGCAGTGTATTTTGTCGGTCTGCCTGTTCTGTTTCCCGCTCTGGCTCTGGTGAATTCTCTCACCCTCCTGTGCTTCTGACTGTACCCAGTGCTTGTATAAATAAATAAATCTAAAAAATATATATATAAATAAAATACAGCGAGAACAAAGCTTCATTCCTTTCTTTTTTTTATTTAAGGATTGATTTATTTATGCATACAACAGCTGGGGTGTAGGCCGGAGGTGCAGGGGGGTGGGGGTTGAGAGGATTCACCAGAGAGAGTGGGGAGCAGAACAGAACAAAGCTTTCTAAGGAGACCTGGTGAAGGAGGTGATGGGGAGGCTGGGGTCTCTGTCAGGAGGCTCCAGCAGCGGATGATGAGATTTATTAGAGGTGATTGTTTCCCCTGCGGGGAAAGTGGACAGCATGGAAGAGAGTGATGGCCCGCCCAGGGCACTGTAGACCGGAGGTGAGGCTTGGTCTCCTGCCTGCCTCAAGGAGTCACGGTGGGTGGCTCCTCCCTCACCTTAGAAGTGCAGGCCCTGAGGCTGAGGGTCAAGGTGCACACTAGAACGTGCTGGAAGTCACCAACAGGGCTGAGTTAATGTCACTTTCTTTCAGGTTCTGTCCACAGAAAGCTGTGTGTGCTCCCTGAGGGGCTGGGGGTCCACCTGGACGGAACCTCATCTGGGGGCATCAGCTCTTCTGTCAGCCAGTGAGAGAGTGAAGCCTGAGCAGGAGAGGAGGGGCTGGCAGAGAAGAGCTCGGGGGCCTTTACTGCAGGGCTGGGCTTCAAGCTCCCTC